AAATTACACTGAACGGCGCAGCAAACGATCAGTCTCATATCGTTCATTAAATGCGTGATATGTGCGTTATAATTTTTTATTTTTGTACCTGTAGTATGTAAAGTATAAGTCAAAATGATAAATAAAAATTCATTGTTATTGCAATCTGTAACTTGGAAAACATTTTCCGTTGTAGTCCCTTCCCTCTGCCCCATTTAATGCGCATACGTCGACTATGTAAATTGTTGAATAAACAAAAAAATGAAGTGAAGCGCCCGGGTTTCGAACACACGGAGCTTCGAAGGCTCCGAGTCTCGAGGAGACCGTGAATTTTAGATTCGCTCGACTCACGCAATCAGCACCGAAAATTCCGACCTTCTTTCCGAAGTTCGAATGTTCGAAGACGGCAGAATTTAAAATTCGCTCGACTGACGCATCAACACGCACACATGCACGCGCCGCGTCACAGTCGTCACACGTCACACGACGCGCCCCACTTGTTTCCGAAGATACCCGAAACCAGCTGCCTGACATAAGGATAAGACTCGTGGTTGTAGGCCAAAGGGTTAAGGAGAAGCTCACTGCGCGCGAAGTTCGAACCACGTACCACGTACACTACACGCGTAATCTTTCCGTATACGCACCGAGGAGATACTTATCTCCTCGGTGCGTATACGTACATGTATCAGGCATTGAGCTACATGTATAAAACAGCTCAACGGCATCAGGTCAACTGAGGTCAACGGCAATATCCAAACTGCAAACTGCATATTAATAATTATATGTAATTGTAATTGTAAATACAATTAGTTAGCTCTACAAAGGAGATGTTCCAAATTTTTATTAGAGACCCCCAAAAGATTGAAAAAATTGGTTTGCTATTTTCGCAATTCCTGCCAATAAAAATTTTTAGCAAATTCTTTTAACCCATTACATAGTAAATTAAGTCTTCTTCTATACCACAGAAAATGATGCTATTTGATCTAACATTAAAAAAGTTATTCCATGTTAAAAGGTATCCGAATACTTTCGTGAGCCACTGCGTATTACATTTCTATTGAATATATATAAATGTTTATGTTAAATTATATACAGAATTTGCGTAACTTTTTTACATGATTTTTTTTTCTTGGTACTTACACTTTCACCATGTAAACGGATTACTGGAATTACCACGAATAAAGAAATTGAATTTTTCCAGGCACGCATCTAGTTTAACGCTGCAGCGTGGTATTTGTGAATGTAATTCAACAATGATAACAACGTTATATAGATTCGTGAAATTTTATTTCAATATTTCGATACATTTATTCTGGCAATAAAGGATCTCCTTCTAGCTTTTCGAATATCGCTTCTTTATGACGTCTCGTTCAAGGCCATTAGAATAAAAATAAATACAATTACAAACGATAAAACGATTCTTACAAATACACGTGGCTAAAAACAACGATGTATAGATGCACCCATAAAGTTTGACTAACAAAAAATGTGTTTATAAAATGATCCGAACACTTTCAACGTCCAGGGGTGCATGAAATAATTTTGAATCAACAACAACCAATTCCGAGGTGCAAACGTCTTTAAACCAAAACATTTAGCATCAAATTTCTGTCCTCCGACTAGTTTAACTTTCGAGCCACAAGTATATATATACTAAAGTATAAGTTCATGCCGATATGAATTCTCCTGGCTTTCGGTTGAAGTTTTAAAAATCTTATAAAACGGCAGGGCGACTGCCGTATCTTATATTATAGAAACATCGATTCGTATTGCTGAATATTGGGACATGAATGAATCGAAATAGTACATATTAACATAGTTATTACGATTAAGTTTTTCAAATAGGAATACTTTGCGTCATCCCGTTCCTGCGACGTTTCATACTTTCCTTTATCACAACGATCGATAAGTGTTTAAGAGCATGCTCGTTTTTAAGTAAAAGCCTCATTGAACAGAATATAATACAACGTGTACAAAATGTTCCGGATGTGATGAGAGGCGTGTTCGAAGCGATCCTGAGTAAAAGTGTTTACGAGGCTTAAAGGCCAGCTAAAATAATTCTGGGATCTTCCACGGCTGCCTTGATCTTTCTTAAGAACATTACAGCTTCGCGTCCGTCGATCAGTCGGTGATCGTATGTTAAAGCCACGTACATCATTGGACGAATTTTTACCTGAAAGCCCATCACCGATTGGAACAGTTCAAACCGAGATAATTACATTAAATTACATCTGACACTTACCTCGCCCTGCACTGCAATGGGCCTGTCGAATACGCCGTGCATTCCAAGAATTGCACTTTGTGGTGGATTAATGATTGGTGTTCCCAACAATGAACCAAAAACGCCACCGTTACTTATCGTGAACGTGCCACCGTCCATATCTTCAACAGATATTTTCCCTTTCCTTGCTTTATCGCCGATCGCTGCCAGAGCGATTTCGATATCCGCGAAATTTTTGTTTTCTACACTGCGGATGACAGGAACGACAAGTCCCTTCGGTGTTGCTACCGCCACGCTAATATCGACATAGTCCCTGTAAACTATGTCATTGCCGTCTATTACAGCATTTACTACCGGTTGATCCTTCAAAGCGTAACTACTCGCTGCAATGAACGGGCTCATAAATCCAAGTTTGATGCCGTACTTCTTTGTGAAACTTTCTTGGTGCATTTTACGGAACTCCATAATACGGCTATAACAAGGTACATGGGATTAAGATCGAGAAAGATTGGAGAACTTCTGAAATTCGTCGGATAATTACCTCATATCGATCTCATTGAACGTGGTCAACATCGCATTCGTATTTTGAGCGTCCTTCAATCGTTCAGCGATACGTATTCGCATTCTGTTCATTTTCACTCGCTGCTCCGTTCTCGTCCCGATTATCTCGCGCGAGTAATCTTCGGGTGGCAGTTGGACTTTTGCGCTTTCGAGCGACTGCAAGTGGTAGTTTTACTTCGTTGAACATTTACGTAAAAAGGAGATATACCTAACAGTCCTTTCACATGGTACTTTTTAAGTTGAAGTTATGATGTATAGTTAAATTTAAGCGATTTTCATTAACATGGTTCATTCAGAGTTCTGGTTTTCAGTATTTGCACAATTTGCTTTCACCGTATGAGAGGAAGATCAGGTGTAATACTTCTTGCCACATTTACCTGGGCGTGTTTGATAGCAGCGACCGGCATAGATGCTGCGGGTGCTTGAGGAGGTGGAGGTCGAGCAGCTGGAGGTGGTACAGCTGCAGCAGGTGGTGGCGGCGGCGGTGGCGGTGGCGGTGGTACAGCTGAGGGAGGAGGAGGAGGAGGTGGCGGTGGTGGCGGCGGTGAGGGTGCAGGTGCCGCTGCACTAGGTGGACTTGGAGCCTTCTCAGCAGGTTTGGCCGGCGGTGCCCCGCCGGCAGCACCGATGTCTATAGTACATAACTTTTGTCCCGGCTTTACCGTATCACCGTCTTTGACAAAAAGTTCTTTTACAACGCCGGCACCTGGCGATGGCACAGGAACTGAAGTCTGCAAAGCGATCATTATAGTTTTCTTGAGGATGGAATCCGTTTTCTTAAGGGGATAGACTCCGAAGCGGTGCAATAAGAACGTCAATTTTACCCGGAAAATTAATCAAATGTATAGAATTTTTAATGTTATAAAAAAGCTTCATAGCACGATTTAAATGGTTTCGAATGGGGAATATCCAATAACAAAAGTTTTTTGTTGACTCATTTGTTTCAATCGTTATCGAGGTCATTGGAATTTTTTATGTAAAACATGAGTAGTTTTTTCTATTGTATCGCTACGCTTTACACGACACAGTAGAAGAGAGGACACATTTTTTACATATAAATATAAATGCTAATGAATTCGAAAAAAGCAAGACGGAAGAAAAATATTTCAATTACAGAATATTCCACATTCGAAACCATTTATATCATGCTATGAATCTTTTTCATAACAAAAAAAGAGGATAGATTTCTAAATATCTAAATCTAATTTTCTCCTTCAGCTGAAACACTATATAAAAAGCTTTTTGGGTCGTCAGGTAACTGTTTGAAAAGAGGAAAGTTAAATCTAGCGTGATTTGGTCAAGATTTAAGGATGTATATGGCTATACAGTCAATACCAAAAGTTTATATACTTCAGAAAAACGCATTTCCTATANATTTTAGCTTTTTAATAGTAATTTAATTTACCTTGTCTGTTTCAATTTCACATAAGACGTCATCTTCCTTCACTTGGTCACCCGCTTTCTTATCCCATCTGACATCCCCTTCACTGACACTTTCCGCAAATGGTGGTACTACAACCTCCTTTATTTCCCCTGTTATGTAAATATATAGATTATGTAAGAATTGTTGATTCCATATGCTCTCAGGCAAAATTCTGCTTACATAGTGAAGATGTTGAATGAATATGTCTAGCCTGATCTGTCCAATGGTGAAATTTCTTATATTTTGTACATCTAGAGACGAATTAAAGCGAAGTATTAAAATTCTTTTGTTAGATCGACGCGGCACTTACATCGTTTAGATGCACCTTTCATAACTTACAATCGAGAGTTCTTGCTGACCACATGTTGCGTGTAGATAAATAGAATGTGCCCTACAAAAATGATTTGATACAATTAGTAGTTTATGTTCATGGTTATTCCCAACGTTGATATGCCTCTCTATAAAGACAATGTTTTTGAGACTTTCAACAGAGCTCACTGCTCCTTTTTATTGTATCAATTTCATTTAGCAGTCTTACCTTGACTAAAAGATTTCACAACCTGAAACCAAGAAATGTTTATATAATTTGATGCACATCGGAAGGGAGGGATATAATGGAATCGAACAGATAAAAATAGGTGTTGCCTATGAAGAACCTTGAGCTTAAACAACACCTGGTTCGATCGCGAAATCTACTTGGTTATCTATGGAGAGAAACTTTTCGTTTGACAGTGATAAACCGTTTCCTAAATCTTCGTTGACAGATTACGGCTGATAGACAGAGGAGATGTAACCGTAAAGTGCCGTGCAAGTAACGCTTATATAATCGTCGCGATAAGTAAGGGCGGTATTTCAGCAACCTTGATAGCAGGTTTTACACGGAAGGGCGTTAGATCCTTCTCAGCCGAAATATGTCACAGACGTTTCGTTAATAGTAAATGAAAATGTTCACGGGAAGCTCACCTTCGTTTGTGATATACTAATTCTTGTTATTACACGAGGCACAAACCGCGAACAGTTGGACAGCATCGCGGCCATCCTCAAACGGAAAATTATAACTTTCGGATGATCGCTCCCGACTCTCCCGACGGTGAGGAATCAGTACGGCCTGATGATACAAAAGTACATTGTATGTACAAACGTGCTTTACGATTCTGGCATCGCTAACACAGACGCATTCGCCGTCGTTTGATTCCTATTGGTCGGCCGTAACGTGTTTACTGTTAAGTACGACAGAATTGCTGATGCTCCTTATACGTACGTATGATGGTGGGGCTGCTGTTTCCTATACCAGATTCGCGACACGAGCAGACACGAGATTTGCCGCTGCTATATCAGGTTCCAAATGATGCAAAAAACTTACTAATCATCAAGTTTAATAAGAACGGGAAACACGTGGGAAAGAATAATTGAGAGAACGGGATTGCAGAAATCACACTTTTTCATTAGCGATTACACAATTATAACGAAATCGTATTTTTTATTCGTCTGAAAGATTAATGTAAAAAAAGAATCTAGCAATTATCATCGAAAATTTGTACAATCGATATAAAGAATGGACATTATGCGTACTTTTAATGTTTTTATTAATTGCTAAATCGTATTATTATTGTTATTATAAATTTTTGCAAAATGATGAATGAAGACGAATCTAACAGGTCAACGAGTTCGTGACCGAACTTTAGTTTTAAATACGGTAAAGATCATAATAGAGATAGAGTATATTGGTATAGCGAGACGCTGTGATTGTGTATATCAAGAACATATTTGTTATAAATACGATTGAGAATAAATTGTCAAAATAACTGATCGAGAAAGTATTTTCAAGTACTGCTAACGCAGTGACAGTGAGACACTCGTTGTTGCATCGATGAAATTTTATCGCCCAACATGGCGATTATATTTTGAATAATACATGTGCTCGTCGCGTTGTTATTATGGTGCCCGCGGCACATAGATCCGACGTCTTTTGTAATAATCTAAAAAGATTCGTGTGCATCGATTGTGATGCGTATCGTTGGTAATAAGAAATTGCCAGAGTGCTAACTGTTTATTGAGATCTGAAAAAGAGCTTCTCTTCCACTCTGCTGTCCTGTATCCGGCTTTCGAGTAATTATTTACGATAAACGGTATTTCAGTCGTAGCAAGTGTGAATACGTCGGGAATGTGCAGCTCCACGGATGTACAAGTTTGCCTTGAATGTCTCTTTTGCCAAAGTGAGTCTCTAAGTCAAAGAATAACCTATGAACTATACGGTATGTTAACGTTTTTACCATTAAGTCAGCATATTATGTGATTACTAGGAGGAGTGCGAGCTTAAATGCGTTGTGATAAAATAAGCAGTTACGATTAACACAGTGTGATGAGCAACAGCAGATATCGTAGGAAAGAATTTGGATCAAGGGGAGCTGGTGTAACCAGACCAAGTAATGACTTTGGTGGATCCAGATTTCATCATCCGAATTTCTTCCACTTTCCACCAAGCTCAGATAAATGGATGGAAATGGCAAACTATCCGCCATGGCAACACAACATGAATTTCCATCACAATCCAATGTACAGAGGTAACAATTTACAGTTCAGACCAAATATCAGAAATAGAGCATTCATTAGCCAAGGAGTAGTAAGATACTCCAGCTCTGGTAGACCAGCAGCCTCCCACTTTCCTATGGGATTTGTAAGACATCCTGCACCCAGAGAATTGTTACCAGTAGAAGAAGAAGTGGAGGATAAACATCAAGTTCCTTTGCCAGGTTCCGAAGAAGAACGTCAACGAAAAATTTCAGAGACAGCTGACAAATTAAAGCAGAAATTATCCACGTCTATGACTGTGGAAGATCTGACACACTTTGGGGAGGAGGAATTGCCTGGTGTTTCGAACAAGACTCCAGAAGAAGGTGAAACACGGAAGAAGGGTATTCCTGAACTTAGGCACGAGCCACCTGAACTTGACTTAACGTTCAACGACCTTAGAGACATAGGCAGGGTTGATAGCAATAATTCCAGACTCGAAGATGTAGATCATGGATCTAACGAGGATATAAATATCGTCGAACAAGAGCCTACAGTTAACGCTACAAGTACAAATAACGTAATTACTATTAAAGATAAAAAAGAATCAGAGCCAACATATAAAGCAAATGATAAAAATCACGAATTACCTGAACCCATCTGTGAAACAGAGAATCTTCAGTTACAAGATAACACTGGAAAGAAGTTGGCATCATTGGCATCAGATTTAAATGAAGCCGATGGAAAGTTGCCAATTGTTTCGAACGACACCGACACAAATTTTATATCTACGAAACCAGTCACTGATTTACTCGCCGAACAATCTTCAGCTGTAAACCTTACAGAAACAAGTGGAAATGATAAAGAAAGAATCCAGAAATCGAAAGAAGATGCGAACAGAAATATTGCAGAAGATATTAATGCAAACATACAACATATTCAGGATGCAGAGATTCCGTCAAACACTATTACCGATTCCGCGACAGCTGTTTGTACGAGTTACAATGAAGTTTATGACGATGCAAGGGGAAATAAAAATGACCATATTTGTAAGCTAACGCCTGTTAGGATCGATACGAGGGCTCACAGTTCTAGCCATCGCTTTCGACAGAACGGGAAACATGGATTTTTTCATGGGACGCAAAGATTTAATCAATTGCCTGGATCAGTGAACGCTCATCTCCCATCGTATTCACACAACGTACCTGTTACAAGCCATAGTACCCAGCAAAAGGCATCAGTGCCATTTCCTTCTAACAGTTACCCTCTTACGTTCGAGCCAAGATCAAATTCAGGGTCTGAGAAATCAAATACCTCGCAGGGTAGCCTGCAGACTGTACAATCGCCGCTTACTTTCGATTTTAGAGAATCTAGGATCCAAAACGTTCCATTGACAGTTAGTGAGCAAGTACCAGAATACAATCCAAAGCAACCGCCACCAATAGTTCATAAAAGAGAGGAAACTTTTCAACCTTCACCGTTCTTGGATCCCCGATTTTCACCTCAAGAATTAACAAGCTACGCTTCTCCGTTAAACCTAATAGAAAATTCGTCCGTGACGAACTTCAACGTAAGTCCAAGTTACACGCAACTACCTCCGATAAACGTGCCGCCACACCAATCGTTCATTTCAATGAATTTTCCACCTGCTTTATCGCAACCGTCGCCGCTTCTCGCGAGCATCGAGGACTCTACTCCACCGCCACCGAAGGCTCCGACAGGAGATAATTTTAATGACCATCGAAATATGGACGACGGAATGCGAGAAGGAATGAAACTAGCAAGACAGATAATGAACATGACGGAAGAGAACAAGAGTGAAAATGTGTCAGTATTTCCTGAAGTACCGTCGGATATTCCTCCGCCAGACAAAACCGCGTGTCATTTTGTACTGGCGAAGGGGAGAGATACGAATATTGCAACGAAACAATACAATAAAAAGTATTCGCATAAAAAAGATAGCCGACACGTAGTTCACAGTACGCACGTTAAAGAGAAAGACGCCAGGACAACTATGAAAGATTATGAAGGTACATTACTGAAAGACCATGGGTCGGAAGTGTTAGACATAAATTCTATAACGTGTAGATTAAAGAGAACCGAAGAGTGGTTGAGGACTCCCATAAATTTTCCCGAGAACCAAATTCACCAAAGCGCATCTCTGAATGTTAATAAACACAGAGTACACTCTAAGGAGAGCCAATCGAGAAAGAGTACTCATTTAGCAGTAAGTAACGAGAAAGCAAGTACGTCTTCTGATTGGATGAGTGATAAAAGAGACTCTGAGAAATCACAGCGCGTTCCGGGCACTGTGTTACCGGGTAACGCAAGCACAGAAAATAATCAAAAGTTGAGAAGAGAAGCCGTAAAAGATAAGGCCCCTACTTCGGAGTCCTCGTGGAAGGCCAAGGTAATCAGTCGTTTTCTGAAGATGAGTAAAAATGACATTTGCAATATGCTGAATAATGCGAGCCTTCGCAAGTTCGACATCGCGATGAAACACTTGGTGAAAGAAAGAAAACCGTGCCTATCTCTGGAGATGAGAAACACGGAAGATGAGAAGATGAAAGAGTACGATCGAGAGGAATTCATGAACCAGTTGAACGCGATGCTAGACTCGGGCGACATCGTAGGTGTCAAGGATTTACCTACAGAGTTCATTCATCATTTGAGCGAGGTGTTGCAACTGGAATCTCTACAGTCCGAAGTTGAACTACCCGAGAAACAAGCCTCGGAGGTTCAATCCTTATCCGAGAATGTAAGGAAAACCGAAATGGAGAACAGAAGCTCGTCGTTGAATAAGATTGAGAGTAAACAGCAGCAGCAACAAGACGAGCCAAAGGTATTGCTTGACGAGACCGAGTTGAATGATATATCGTCAGAAGTTAAAGAAAAAGCGAAGAAGATACAGAGGCCTTCGATTTTTGATAGCGGTAAGAGATCAAACGAAACGCGTACAAGTTCCTCGTTAACGCAACCAGTAACAGAAGCTTTCAAGTATAACACTGCTCTGCCAACTAATAACCCTATAGCTGACATTGATGACATTTTTTTAGCAGGAATCGCGCAGGCGAAGAAGCTAACCGACTCGAGTGCGGGTAGATCGAGAGCGCGGAAATGTTGTTCCGAAGATCGGAACCCGTTCAGACCCGACAAATACGAGTCATGGAGCCGAGAAGAGCGAGAGAACTTAGACGCGTACAGGAATTTGACTAAAGAAGAATGGGAAGCGAGGTACAAGTCGAAGAGCAGCGCGACAGCTTCGTTTACTGTGCAAAAAACTATTTCTACCAGCAGCGAAAATCTAAGAGACAAAAGGAAGGATCACACGCACAAACATTGCTCGTCGGAATCGCCTCTGAGAAGTTCGAGCGCTAGTCCTGTAACTCGTGTATTCAGACCTGTCAGTCGTCCAATCGAAACGGATGAATCGCACAGTGATAGTAGTAATACTTCCAACAGCAGCGATACTTCCAGTACGAGCAGTTCCAGCAGCCACAGCGACAAGCTGGCGGTCTCCCCTAGCGTAACGAAGTGGCTGAAAGTGATCAAGGAGAATGAGAAGATCGCGAAGAAGAAATCTGTTAATGAAGCGTTAAGGGATGTGGTAGTTGCTGAGATAGAGGAGCAACGGAAGGAAAAGAATAAACAGAAATCACGCGAACGCGAGAAGAGGAGAAAACACAGGAAGGAGAGACGAAAGAGGAAAAGGAGAATAAGCTATACAGATTCGTCTGAGTCTAGCAAGAAATTCGAAGAATTTCGATTACTGGCGGACGATAAGGGTAAGAAGGAAGTAAATCAGGAAGATAAGATAAACTCTTTTAAACGTGGTAGCATTGTTCCTGATCCGGCTAAATCGCAAATAGAAAAGCAGCAAGTTCTTAAAGTCGCTTGTATAACGTCGATGTCGGAAACCAAAAATCAATCCGACCAGACTCAAGCTAAGTCTAATACGCAGTTGAAACCAGTGCCAAAACTCATTAAAGTTCAGATCGCGAAGAACAGTGCAGCGGATTCGAACAATGGAAAGATGAAAAGTATTTCGGTTGCGAATAAAGATAAGGAAGTAACGAAGAATTTAGAGCAAATTATCGCACCAGCTTCTGTCTCTTTGAAGCAAGTTAACGTATCTTCGATTGCTACGACGAGTGCTTGTTCAACAGCGAACAAAATTTATAAGAAGATCGATATAAGTGCGTACAAAGAACGAAAGCGTTTGAAAGATCAAACTCAGTTAAAGGAAAACCCGAAAAATACTGCGTCGACGAATCAAAATACTCCTCGTGCCTTGCCTATGAATACATTGGACTCAGATAAATTGAATACAACGAATGAAACGAAAAAACCTGAGGCGGACAACGTGCAATCAAAGGATCAATCGTTAATCGGAGATCAAAATAAAGAAGTTAGCATACGAACTAACTTGAGAGAAGAACGAAAGCCTATTGCGCGAAAAGACAAAAAATCTTTAGTATCTTTGGAATCAAATTCTAATCATAAGAACTTCTCTTCACCCATAGATTTCGATTCAAGCGTGAAGGGAAAGGAATGTCTAAGTGATAAGAAATCATCTTTGCACGGAGTTGCCCTCGAAACCAAAAAACCTTCTGTGCAAAAAGAATTGAAGCCTGTGCTTCAAAAGAAGAAGCAATCGAAGAAGTTAATTTCGCTCTTCGACTCTCCCAAGCATACTCACATTCGGTCGGAGGGTAAAAAGGAGTTGAAATTGAAAGAAATGAAAAACATGAAGAACAAAAAACTGTTGGATTTCGATAACCTTAGGTCTTCGAAGAAGCACAAAAACACATCTAAGAGTAAACAAAAAGTTTCAAATAAGAAAATGGCAGCAAGTGCTTCGAATTCACGATTGAAAATTGAGGATAAAATTGTCCGGGAAGAAATACATTCTGTGATAAAACCAAATCAAGAGTCTGTTGACGGTAATGAAAGATCGACGAATGTTATTAAGACAATTGAAAAAAGCGATCTTTCAAGCCAACAGATTGTAAATCAAACTGATAGCTCGATAAATTCGAAGGACGAGAACGGTAATAAAAAAACAGAAAGTAAAGTTCCCTCTAAAGAGTTACGTCTACGAATTAACGTTGACATCGAAAAGAGTGGCCCTTCGATTAATATAAAAAGTTTGACAAACAATTCTAGTCTCGTTACGGAATCGAAGATATCTGAAATGAACGATGTAAAACAAAACGAGACGTCTAAATCTCTTGAAATCTCAAGAAATTTTAATGTCCATGATAAAATCACGAAAAGCGATTTGACATCTCCAAACAGTCCAAGCGGCCAGTGCAAAAGTTTTCCTGCTATATCTACCGAGAACGATGTTAATACCGCTCAACTTGACAATAAAGGTAAGGAAATTATAAGTTACAATTTCTATCATATATTCAATCGTTTTAATAAGAATTTCAATTCAGATCCCATAAGAAAAACAGATTCTCCGTCCGAGGATGCAGCAGTACAACAGAATGTTATAAACACGAATGATAGAAGCACATGTATATCAGAGATAAAAAAGGACGATGGAACGGATAAACGTGGTAAAACGAGCAGCGAAGAAAATCAACCCGCAGGTGACACAAACGTCTCTGAAAAAGGCAACGAATCTCTTAATGTTTTGCATAAGTATTACAGAATAGTAGATAAAAAATCAACTGAAGTACAGTTAAATGACGTCGACCTTGAAGATTGTAGCGCAAGGGATACCGATTTTTTCATGGATAGATCATCCGACAAAGTGAATCCAGGCGATGTTATATCGACGAACCCCATAAACTTTGAAGAAGTATTCCATAAGAATAACGCCGATAAGGAAGTTCTCACGGAAGGGAAAGAGAAATCTACGTCGCCTAATAAAGAAACGACTATTAAGAAAATTGATTCCCGGCAGAATTCTGAATTTGGAGTCCGACCAAAGCCGAGCAAACTGCTCGAACAAACTGAAACGGAAACTGCTACCATGCCAATCGTTGCATCGGCAATTAAAATGAATGTGAGACTTGAGAAATTCAACAACGGTTTGCTGATTCGGCAAATTCCTACTTTGCACGGGAAAAACGCACCCAATGAATCTAACCAAACGAATGAAGCCACAAGTAAATCGGAACAGGTAAAGGATAAATCGTTGCACAAGATACGGCACAAATCGAAACTGAAGGCTAAGAAGGAAAAACTGAAGCCTCCAAAGGAGACGATAAAGGATGCCATGAAATCGTGTACAGTGGAAGTAGTTAAATATCCGAACGCGCAGGAAGATATTATGGCTAGAATGATTGAGATCGACGTTGAGATTCACAAACTGATGACAGAGAAGATGGCTTTGTACCAGATGCTGACCAAGAATCAGACTTCACTAAGCAACGATAACAATCTGAAGGAGAGCATCGTGATGCAGGAGCAAAAATCGGACGCATCGAAACCTCGAACTTCGATCAAGTTGACATCGCCATTGACTCGGGAGAAAACTAAGACTAATGAAACTTCCGCGATCGTGGAGAGTTCATCCGTGATAGAAACCAGTATTAACGTAGGGGAACCGAGTACGTCCAAAGCGGAGAATAATAACTGTTATGTTCCAGCTTGTACTTCCGATGATGGCAAGAGCTCGTTGGTTTCTAAGAAGAAGAAGAAGAAAAAGAAACATGAAGTACGTAGACTCGTACCTTCTGCATTCCCAAAAATCGTACTCGCAGAGAAGAACCGGGCCGACGTAAATGAAGCAGAAGAAACGGACTCAGTGTATACGGATCTCGATACGAAAGTAGTGAAAGACTCTAGTCAAGTCTCTGTTGCAACTAATGCAACTGAGTTGCGAGTAGTTATTGATAAAATATCTACGCAGACTGATAACCAAGATCTAGTTAGTGGCGATAAACCAGAAGCGGCCAACCATCTGGTCGTTAAGCCAATCGAGGAAATCGCCGAAGAAAAATTAGTAGATATCGATAATCGTCCGATAAGAGATAACGAAGAAAGAGCGGCGAGTTTGAAAAGCACAGATACAAATTGCTCGGAGATTAGAGCGTCGATATACTCGGATGACAGTACTTTGGATGCTCTTCCTCAGCATGCAGGTAGAACGAAGGAACAAAAGAATCCGAGCGTCGGTCTCGCTCTCCTGGAGGAGACGTACAAGAAGGAGATCGCTAAAGCGCGGAGCATAAAAAGAGACGCGATACGAAAGAGAAAAAAAGAGCTGCGCTACGAGTTGCCGAAGACTGTTTTGACCGCGGAGGAGGAGGATCTACCGCTTTCCACGCTGTACATTAAAAGGAGAAAAAGTAAAAAACGGAAGTTGCCAGATTCTGTGGTGAATCAAACGGACGACGATGTGTTAAAGAAAATGGACGACGTAATAAACGCAGTAGCAGAGAACAAGACGGAAAAGCTTTACACGGAAGGAGAACCGACTGAAGGAACTGCATCCATCGTTTCTGAAAAGAAGGTTGAATCCAAACAGAATGAAGAGGAACAAACGTTAAGGAACGGAGAAGAACCTTGTGATGGATCGCCCAACAAGACTGCGAGTTTTAATGCACATGAATTGTTAGGCAATAAACATCTTCAGGGGGACACGGAGGTCAGTAGATCGTCTGAAGCTTCTGACAAGAATCCCGACAAAATTGAATCCACTGCTCCGCAGATTTTAAAGAACGAAAACGTGGAAACTACGGAGCTGACAAAGAACACTGAATCTCGCCATAAAACGAATAAAGATGATAAGAATATTCATAGTTCTACCAATGCATTGAATAATGCAGAAATTAACGAAGAAAATCGTAAGCCTGATGAAGAAGCTATCAACAACATCGAAAAAGTTTACGAGTATTCAACTGCATTGGACGACAGTGAAAATATAATCGTCATAAGTGACACTGGTGAAAAAGACTCTAAAGTAACGCATGAACGAAAATCAAACGAGAAAGATAATATAGATAACGTTACTCTACAATCTAATTGCAAGACCAAGAACGATCACTTTATAAGTCTTAGAAACTATAAAGAATCGCATAAAGCAAGAGAAATCGTGAAAGATCTGAGCGGAGAGAACGGTAATCATGATTATACATCATCTGTTATCAAGAATACGGAGACGTTGAAAATTGACGAAGACCTCGATAAGAAATTGAATAAACGCAAGAGAGAAAATACTAAGGATACTGCTCGGCGAAAATCAAAGTACGAAGAACCGGTGAAGAAACGTACGAAGTCGGAGACATCCGCGACTTATGAGCCGGAAGAACGGTGTAAGTCTTCCAGGACTCAAGATGTGTCACCCGCGTTGTTGCAGTGCGAAGAGAGTCGCGGTCAGAAGAAAAAGCGAAACACCAACTCCGAAACAGACGCCTCTTACTCCGATAACGAATGCTCGAAGGCAATTAGAAAGCAGAAGTTACATACAATATCCGAAATGATGAACTGCGTGGTAAAAGTGGTAGATTGTAAACGCGCAGCCTCGAATTTGAATGTAAATCCTAACGTATCGCAAAGTTATCGAATTTCCAGAATTAATACTCAGTCCCAATACCATCCTACCCTTACCCAAATAGATTCTTTGATAAGTTCCCAGAAAGAATCTCCGCAGAGTCAGACTTCGAAGACGATAAAGCGATCGGACGATCAAACGAATTTCGCTCGAGTTAAGAGGCCCAAATCTGCCAAGATAGATACGAGCGATGAAGAAAAATGTGCGGAACCGGTCGAAGTTATGCCGGTCTTGACGAAGGAGCAGATCAAGAACAATGAGAGCTCCGATGTCGTGGTTGAGGATGAGAAAGCAATTGCCAAAAATCAGCAGCCCAGTGAAAATCCTCCGCCTACATTGACTGTGATAGATACTACGGCTGACGAGGAATTACCGAGAATACAGTACACGGTTCATAATGGTCCTATTTTAGATATTAAGGTAAAGACATATAAAATTGGATGGAGAAAGTCCAAAAGAACATGCGTTAAAACATACATATAAAGTATTCGTTTATTTTCATTATAACACTTTATAGTATTATTTTTTATTCTCATCGTAACAATTTAAGTTTTATTTTCATTATAACATTTCATAGTATTTCATTTGTTATCGTTTTCGATTTGACATTTCATTTCGTTCTAACAGTTCCTTTTATAGTTTTATTTCCATTATGAACGTTAATAGTTTTTGTTATGTTTCGTTGCACAAAAGATGATAGGCAACTACTGTTGTAAGCCGTAATGCATCTTACATAGAGAAATATGTATGCTACAGACAGACAATGAAATCTTTTTTTACGCACACTTATTGCTTGTTATTATTTCATTTTCTCTCCTTGCATCACCGTGGTTTGCTTTTCATTTTTGTTTGAAATCATTTCAGTCTAGATTGGATCGTCTGTGCTTGAAGTAGAATCATCCGATTTAACAATAGTAATCGTAAAAAGTAGTGTATGCCCTAGGTTTTCGGGGATTCGTTTCTAGCTGCGAGCGAAGACGGTAGAATATACAGGTACAATCAATCGTCTAATGGACTATTAAACATATATAAAGGGCACGTAGCAGCTGTTACTTGTTTACACATGTGCAACGCGAGCTATACAGATATCAGCAAAGAGTGGATCTTTTCCGGTTCACTGGATGGAACCTTACGGTGCTACAATGTCATGGTAAGTATCAGGTACTTCATTTTGATGTAAGCCATCACATATGTGTGTATCTACATCTGTCAAACGAATCTCGCTAGACTGGGATACAAGCGAGAGATACGGCGAATGTGGGTAGTCCGATACAATGTATGGACGAGGCTTGGGGAATAATCTTCGTCGGAACTAAATCCGGTCACGTCTCGCGTTACCACATAAAGGTTTGTTAAACCACGGAACGATTAACGCAATGAAGCGACGTGCAAAAACTTTCAGTCAGGTACTATCAAAGAAGACAGTATTCAGTTCTCGGATAAATCCGTGCTGGCTTTGAAAGCAACCAACGAAGGTCCACGAAGAGTTCTAATCGTCGCTTCGCGTAGCCAGCCGATAACGATTAGGGACGCTCAAAACGGTCTGTTTCTTCGCACGATCTGCGGCCAAAGGAGTTATACGGTGTACAGTCTGATGCGTGATCACAATCTGATTTATTGCGGGACCAGTAGTACTTCGATACCGGTCTTCGATTTCACGGTTCGTACTCTGCTAAACCATACTAGGATGCTTTCTTTATCAACGATGACGATAACAACGTGTTTATAGAATGGAGAACAGACGATGCAATACGATGCCGGCGTGGGTATAGTATGTATGCGGTTGTACAAAAGCTTGTTGTTCGCCGGCTGTTACGACGGGAACATTTACGTGTTCGATACCAAGGTACTTATATATGCGGGCAGCGTATCAGGGCATGAACAAATTGGCGGGCAATCTTGTACACGTTTACTTGTACTACTTACTATCTAGTTGAAGGAGTGTCATGTATGTGACGGAAAGCAAAAATTAATTTTATAGCTTTCACTGATTCTTATTTTACCGTTTGAATGCTAAAGAGCTCAGTAGCACTCTTCTTGTGTTGTGCCCAAAATGCGGAGACCGCGATAGCACTCCTGTTTATCAATTTTGTATTCGTTGAAGCTGATTGCATTTGCGGAACGTACGATTTCTACTTACTTTAATAATATAATATTTCAAAATGCTTTTTACTTGTGATAGCTGTTTTAAATAATGATAGGATCAATGCATAAATATGTTTGTGATGATAAAATGCATAGCAATGTTCATGAAAATGATAGTGAATGTGGTACTGTTGTTATCGAGCTATAAGTAAGATCAGTAATGACGAAATCAAAAGAAATTTAAGCGAAAAATGCTACTTCCTATTTTCTTTATAATAATGCAATATTTGTGATGTAATTAGTTGATTAATCTTATTAATTTTTTCCGTACACGCACAATCGGTTCCGCATTTTTAGTATATATCCAAAAAACTTGTTCAATACTCAAATGGTTAATACAGAGTTGCGTCGCACTAATTTAATTACCAATGAAAAGGTAATTCACAGAAAAAAGTCGTCTTGCCACGACTGTAACTGATATACTTTATGATACATTTTGATTTTAACAATTGAAAATAAAAAGTAAAACTTCGGATCCTTGTCAAGTTGATAATTTTTTAATAAGGATATGTTTTCAAAATCGCGTCTTATGAACTTTTTTGTGATCAATTTCCGTATACACTTGCTACGGGATAATTCCTTCTGAGCATTTAGCTTATATTATCTCAACCACAAGTGTCTTTCCTCCACTCCGCTGTACTGAATACTACCAACAGTGCCTGCCGTTGCTCGCCAGAAGGCTTGATGAACAGCTTTGACCTAACGTTAGAATGATGAAACTTATACATTCTTCATTAAATTTTAGGAATATCGACTTGTATGCAGTATACCTGGACCCGGGAATATGTTATTGAGCATGGAAGTCGTGGACAATAAGGTATCTAAAGCATCCTCTGTCGCATTCGAATATTCTATCAGATTATATAAAGCAGCTTTTCACAGATCATAGCTGGCAGCAAAGATAAACGTCTACAATCGTGGCAGATGCCTTACCAAGTACGATCTTGTATATAAACGAGCCAAATTCGAACTGGTAAATATTAGTCTAGTCGTAATACTTATAAGAGAGAAAGGAAGAAGAATTAATTTCGTGGTACAATTGGTCTATACGGAATTAATTGCACAGATTCAAAAGGCTTACTCTGTATATAATCGTATTTATCGGATGTTATACTATAAATATATTTGTACAGAAAGCTAGATAAAGAAATTATCGAGATGATGGCGAGGAGTATAGTGGAGTCCGGTTCCATTTCGTTGACTTGCGCTACCGAGGGCGAAACCTCTTGTGCCTTGTGCGCGTCGGCAAATGGCATTACATTTTCGTATTTTTCAATTGAAAAAGGAAGAACATGGAACGTACGAAAACGTAATTATTAAAGAGTACGCACCTTTCACCGTTCATATTTTTCGAGTTCTCTTTTGTACCTGTATATCGTGCGTTATCTCAATATCAGTCAACGCGATAAGTATAAATGTTCGAATATTAGTTGAGTTGCTTCGTATTGAATTTACGAGTGGCTAACAATATCTGATAAATGCTAAAAATGATATGACTCTTACTTAACTTCTTGTTCTGTTAACATGCATTTTTTTATACGATTAGTTTATATCGTTCTTTTATGTTACACTTGTTTTACGGTGATTAAAATATGGGAGAAATGTGTTCTTGCCGATGTTACTATATAAATAATAACGAATAAAAGACGTGTGACTGAACTGTGTAAATGTTGAATGTATAATTTTCGAAGAAATTATACAATGGCTCGATGGTTACGTTACTTCATTAGATATACATGACGCTTATGAAACTGATAATAACAATTGTTTGTAAGCACTTGAACGTGAAAATTCTACGTCGTACGGTATAAGTTCGTGCATTCAGTATTTGTTACGTGCAATGATGAAATCTTAAACTGCTCATTTGAATAGGTCGTGTATTTCATTTTTATGAACAGATGTTCTATGTGAGCTAGCGATATTGTCTATGTAATCTCAAAGTTTGTTATTTTGAATAAGGGCACGAAAATTAAGAGGTATGTAACGCGACACCTGATGAACTTCTTGTATTGACTGTTAACATTTTTTAATTATACTAAGAAAAAAGTATTCTTCTTATTAATCCTCGTTTCAATAACTCTGGCCTAGAAACATGTCTGTTAAATCAATATGCTGTAGGATACCAAGTAGGAAGTTAAGACAATTATAACAGACGAGATGTGTCTCTGTCTCGGTCCTATTAAATCTGGCAAAACGTTTCTGATGAAACGATTGCAAGGCGACGTGATAGACGACGCGGTCAACACCGTTCCCACGAACGGTATAAATCATTTCACGATTAAGGATAGCACCGGTAAATTTGACACGATCGTGAGAGATATTGGTGGTAGCATGGCACCCATTTGGAAACATTATTTCGACCGGGTAAAGTGTTTCCGAAAATTTTAAAAAGAATGTCGGATATATCATTTTCTTATAGGTAGGGAAAATAATTTATGTGGTGGACGCGAGCAATCTCTGTCAAATAAGCGCGGCGGGAGTGTTACTTTACTCGCTGCTAGTGGAACCTAGATTGCGGGCCATCAAAATCGCGTTAACGTTGAATAAGATGGACCTCTCTTATCGTCAAATGCGGAACGAAGCCCTGCTAATTCTTCAATACTCGCGGCTGCAAAAGGAGGCCACGCAAACTCTAACTATATTCGAGACTAGCGGAATGACTGGGGAGGGTGTCGAAAAATTAAGGAACTGGTTATTCGATCCGGCCACTTTAAAATCTGCAACTGCGAACAAGTAAAATGAACGTGGACGCGATTTGGAATTATATTTCTTTTATGTGATATTTCTTTTATTTACACTGTTACAAAGATATGAGGTTCCTATTTAACGGATTATAATTATTTCTTAAGAAAATTGATTTACCTTTGTAGGTCGACCGGAGTTTAATTTCTTTTAAGAAATTTTAAAGAATTACAAAATTGTCGATTAAGAAGTTCCTGAACTTATTTAAAACGAGCACGATAACGCGAGGATAGGAAACAAGGAAAAAGAACAACGTGTAAAGAATACCGTAATCTATGTAATATTATAAAGGTACGAATGCGAATACATTTTCGTTTTATATGAACAGTGTATTCTTAAAATAAGTTCAACAACTTTCTTACCAATTTCGTATGTACGATTCGAGCAAACTTGCGCGCATGCAAGAATGCGTGATGAGCCATTATAATCGATAATCGAGGATTTATATACGAGAGCACGATGCGCGCATTTAATATCATATTTTTCGCACGAAATAAGGAGAAAATTACAATTCTGTAAAAGTTAATTAAAAAAATAGCAACGTGACGGGTCCAACTAAGAGATAAGGAAACAGTTCCACGTAAAACGAAAGGAGAAATAAAAAGGGAACTAAACATTTCTGGTCTCTCATAGTAACGATAAATAGATAAATGTATGTACATATTGTTTCTTAGCATGTTTTTTAAACATCCAAAACTTTCGATCTGTTTGCCTGGGAGCTGCGCGAAATAAAACAAACTATACCTATCGACCAAAAGACTAAGCCTAATGTATTCGTGTAAGGTCTTCCACTACTTTTACAAGATCATCCACCGTTGCCTCTCTCTTCGTACTGGTGGCGGGATCATCAATCTGGAAAAAGACAAATTGATGAGAGAAACGCTGCTTACTCGCATAAGGAAAATAATTTTGTAGTATATTCGACGAGCCACACTAAAGCTGAACTAGTGCGCACTGAATGAAGGACTGAGAAATTTTTTAATGCCACGTATTCGATTTATGTTCTCTTTCTCAATATAGTGCAATCGACGTATTCGGCTATGTTGCACTATTAATATTCAATTTTTGCACCGCGTTCGACAAATAAACACTGCCCTGGTACAGTGCAGAATCCGCATTCGGATAAGTGAGCTGAACTAAATAAATGCATAATTTATTGCATTGACACTTTGGCAGTGCAGTTTAATGGCACCCGTATCGAAGAATTTTGCACGCGTGCATAAATATTTTTATCAGGACATTTCGATTCTAATCAGAATACAATATTAATATACTATACTGAAATACTGTGAATAATCCTAGTAAATCTGTGTGACAAAATTGAAACACACAAGTCATACAAGATAAACTACAGAATGATTCTAGACCCACGATCTGGTAAACATTGAACTGAGGAAGGTGCCACAAAATTGACCTTCACAGGGTGTCTCAGAGTATCCGTCCGAGTATGATAGAGAGTGGTTTTTATTGAAAACTAAAAAAATTTTATGAACCATTTCGATTATGCTCTATCGAATGGTGGTAGTTACAATTTCCGGTACTAACCGGAAATAAGATTTTCAGACCGGAAGTGGCTCTTTTTATTTAAGAGACCTGGTATTTTTTTATTGTATATTCGGACTGTACGCAAAAGAATATAAAAATTTCGCTTTTCTCGAGAATACCTCCATTGGACGGAAAATGATTTCTAATCTATGAATTTACATTTCTCAAGTTAAAGATGTAATTTTTAATAACGAATTTGCACGAGTTACAGAACAGACATTAAAGAACAATTACCAAAGATCCGATGTTTACCGAATTAATAAACAAATTAACAGAAATCAACAATGGAAATAAACAAAAGAATAACAAGGATTAATTCTGAAAATAAACAGATACCTAATATTGACTCATTTGGCATCAATATTGACTAATAACTTGAAAAATAAGTTTGAAAAAAAAAGAATGTTTGACGTTGGTGTTCAAAGCCACCATTCTGCGAATTTACTTCTATTAATCTGTTTATTAATTTATTTAGGGGAAGGTATTGTTCTTTAAATATACATATATAACTAGTAGGAAAATCTTAAGGTCTGATTCTATTGAAATCGAAAAACAGCAGAAATCAAGAATAAAAAATGTCCATCCGAGACTCTATTTTTTTAGTTATTAGAGATTAAAAATTGCACCTAATGACAAGCAAACCTACCTAGTCAACGTACGTCTAGAATTCTGAATGCTGATATACGTTCTAACGATTACCGTTGCATTACGCACATACTTCAAATTTGTAACGTAGGCTTATTAGGATTATCCGTACTATTTTAATGTACCAATTCCATACTCCAGTAGAATCAATCGCACTAGGGTCGTACGTAATCGGTGCTACGTCGCACTGGTGCCGTTTTGGAACAGCAACAGTGCGTGCTGTATAGAACATTACTTACCAAGAGACCACTCGCAACTTCTGCCATCTTATCAGGGCTCAGATCAAGGAAGCTCTCAATTAAATCGCCGTCTATGAAGCCTTCGCATCTTTCGATCTTCAATTCGGTGTTGAAACTTCTCCAGAAATTGTGTTCTATCTTGCCGACGCTCTTTATTATGGTCGTCAATTTTTCCTCGAGATTTTTTAGGAACTCGTAAAATGTGAAGGGAATTTGTGTAACGAGACCTATCGCACCGCTGACGGTTCCAAACAATACGCAGCCTTGGGTGGGTGTACTCGATTCACCCAAATTTTGCATTACCAAAGATCCGTGCCGGAAAACATTAACCATATCGCCTAAATGAAACTGTCCAACCTCCTGCATCTGTTGCCTCTCGTCTTCGGAAGTAGCCGCGCTGGAATTTGCATTCGTTAAATTCTATTTAAACAAAAATCTGTCGAAGCAAAAGAAGTCTCACCTGTCCTTCTGACAAACGAACATATTGAAGCAGTTCTCGGCACCGAGGAAAGTATCATCGTCTAAGATTTCTATGGCAGTCATCCAATTCGGATTGTAATCCCTCGCTATCTCTTCGAAACAACCTTCCATCGTCTTGTATTGCAACAACGTGAGGGATCTCATAAGATCGCCGACTAAAATGAAGTCTCCCTTCGTTTTTAAATAAAGAGCTATGATATTATTAAAGTGACTGCATTCGAGTCGCAGTTCTTTCTCCGCGGTCCACTCAAACAGGCGAACGGTGCTGTTAATACTGGCGAGTAGTTTCCCGTTGAACTCTGTTAAAGAATAACACGATCCCTTGATCTCTTTCTCGGCTACTTGCGTCAGCTTCCCATCGCTCCACTGGTACAAAAGTATTCTACCCATCTTTGGCTCCGTTTCGTCCGGATGGATGAGCGCGGTTCCAACTACGTAATACGAAGTCGGATCTTCTCCCAGTTTCGTTGAAATCAACGAAAGCGCATATTCGGTGGGCATCAGCATGTGGGCATGCAAAACCTCAAAAGTGTGTTGGTCGATGATGAGCAAGTTATGCACTTCGATTTCCTGACTGACGTCGCTGGCTGTGTGTCCCGTGGGTTTATTGTACGATGCGATGTGACTGCTGCTAGAAGACGAAGCCGCTTGGGTGGACGCAGAATGCCTTACGATGCTAACACCGCTTGTATCCTGTATATCAATGCGCATCGTTATCACGCCGAACGTTTGAGAACTCTCTTGATAAGCAATCCGCCTGGGCGATTCCCCGAGAGGGACGGTGCGAATGTGTAACTTCTGTATTTCGTCGATCGTGCCAATCGTCACGGTGCTGTCCGTTGCCAGTGCCAAGCTATCAGAATACGCTTCAGCGTTTAAGGAGCACATATGATTAACTTCCTTCAAGTTCACATTGCTGAATACCAGTTTGTGATTCGACGAATAGATCACGGTGGGCCTGTCGGAGCACGCGAAGACGTTCGAGGTCGACAACGATCTGAACGTTCTCAGAATCGTCGGTTGCGTACCCAACGTGACTTTCTTTTTGTCAGAAAGCATGCCATTCTGTCTGTGCAGAGTAAAGTAATACATGGTTCCGTCACCGAGAGCGCAGAGCAGATATGTGTTGCTCTCGAAACAAGTCATCAGAATGGATCTAGGTATAATATCGCCGCCGAGCATCTCCTTATTGATCTCCTTCAACGTGGGTAAATGTAGAATGCGGACTGATATGTCTGTCCACAAGCCGACAGCGGCGATTGTTGCCTCCGTGTTACCGTCCAACAGGGATATATCCAAACAAGCGGCCTCATGTTCCAACGTGACGAAACCCTTCGGCAAAATCTGCCCGGAAGAGATTTCCACGTAAAACAGATCGTTCCCAGTGGCGCAGAGCACCTGCGTGCCGTTGCATGCGACCACGCTGATCGTCCTCTTGTTCTCCGGTTCCCATTCAGAGACGACGGCTTTAGTTTTGTGGGAGATCAATCTAACGGACGTCGGCGTGATTTGAATAAACAGATCGCTCGTAACATTGCCGGTGTGGAAGGTTTGTTCGTCCGCGACGAAACCTGGGATCTCCGTCTCCTCGACTTCCTCCCCGTTCAACTTTAAAATCCTAGTTTGCCCAACGAACGATAAGACCAGCATGTTGTCAAAGTTACCACCACCGACCTTTAATGCCCACATGCCTTTAATGCCCGGCAGATCTATGTTCGCATGTTCTTCGATGCCTATCCCGTTTCTGATAATTCTAAGTGAACCTTCCTTGAAGGCTCCGGAACAGGTAACCATTTGTCCTTGGCCCTGCCTCTCGAGATCGACCACCGCCATATCAACGATCGGCGCTAAATTCGTAAAAGTTTCCATCGCGATGCAATACGATCCATGTTCATCGACTTTCGTACTTAGTCTAATTAATTGCGAGTCTCCTAATCTGCTTCCAACGAATATCACTCCGTTGTCCAAATACGTGATACACTCTGGTATGCTGATCTCACCTAACAGTTCTACCTTCAGATCTTTCACTCCCAGTGTACCGTCCGGTTTCTTGTCCTGCTCTAAGAACAGCATGAACAAGTGTCCTGCCATGTCTCCCAGTAAATACCGGAGACCTTGAGTATCAACTTGAGCGTAGCACGTAATCGTACTCTGTTTAATGATCGGAGGTACAACGGCGGTGTATCCGGTTCCATCGTGATACAATATACTTTCTTGCCCAATTATTATCGCGCCGCACATAGGAGGGGGTACAGGAATAACTATCATAGCCTCTCGCTCCACATTTTCCTGCTTCCAAGGCATTTTAACGAATTCCCTGTCCCTTAAAGAAATCTCGTGCGTTCTAACGTGTCGCCCATTGATGTCTTGGTGGATGAGGATTAAAGTAGGATTGGCACATCCGTGAAGGAAATTCACATCCTGTACTTGTTGCTCGTCCATACGTATAGACGATGCTTTCAATTCTGGATTGTCTTTCTCCAAAGGAATGATCTTGAAAAGACCGTCGTATAATCTGAGACCGATCACTCGTGCTTTGGGATCGATCACAGCTTTGATACCGGTCTCAGAAGCTTTCCCAATACGATCTGCTACATTTCCATGGGCTTTTGTTATAATCTCTATATCTTCTCCTTCTCCAATGCATTCCAATATCATAGCATTGTAGCGTGTGGTCAAAAGGAACAGCAAATCCTTTTTCTCGTGCTGTAGAAATATCAAAATTCATTTACTGCTACAAGTATTTATGTATTGGGTTGTCCGGAAAGTTCGTTCCGGTTGTTATAGAAAATATAAAGGCAGCGCATTTAAATTTTGACATACGTTTACTGATCTATGAAATTATGTAGAGTGTTACTTTTAATGCGACGCACGACTTTTCACCTACTTGCAGCCATGCGACAAAAAAGAGATAAGAACATAAGTTGCAGGGTACGAAGCATACAATTGCTGTCAACAAAAAATTTCTAACTGTTTGTTCTCACGGCGAAATCGAGGTCATCTTCAGTTTTACAAACAGTAACACCTATTTTTTGTTACTACACTTAGGAGATATGGAGACGAATTCAGAACACATGTGGAATTATATTTTTACTAATATATTACTCGATTTACAGTAGTGGAAATGTGAAACATTTAATTCTTCATCGTATTTGACTTTAATACAGTATAAACATTATTTGAGGCCGAAGAGACTACCGATTGTAAACACGCGACTAGAACATAAGACGCACTTTATTTAATTACATATTCAAAATCCATTCCACCTTTCGCTATGTAATGTTCTGCTCTTCTACAGAAGTCTGAATGTGAGCTGCGATCAAACTTAGTAATGATCCATGCAATAAACTGTAAACATCATTCTGCGTCTGTAGCACGTAAATGTTGAACTGCAGCAAACTTAAAGGGATGATATTTGAAAGGGATAATACTCGAAGTTTTATGAACATTTAACATATTTAACACGCTTCGATGTCAAATAACGTTTACGTTATTTTAAAATCAAATACGATGAAAAGCTAAATATTCCATATTGCCACTATTCGTAAATCGAGTAATATATTAATAAAAATATCATTTAATATGCGTTTTGATTACTGTTATTATTTGGTATTTGGTTCCACACCCTTTTTCTATTTTTCATGTAGAGGTTCAATCCCTAAGAATAGCGAAAAGTATGCGTTTGCATCATTCGATTCTACGTACTTACTTCTCAGAGACTCAAGACAAAATTCGTTTAATGTTTACTTTAAGGAACATTGCAGGGCACTCCGGTCTTTATTTAACTCAGGACCATCACTCTTTGGAATAATAATAATTGCTTAAACTTGAAAATGTAGTAACTACCATTTTTGTTTCACTTTGTAACATTTACTTTATGAAATATCCGCATAATCTCACTGAATAAAGACTTTTTCTAAAAATGCCGAAAATATCATCTTTTAGAATACGTATAATATACATATAATTCATTTTTAACCATTTTGATATACACGGACCTGTTATAATCCATCTATTAAAAATTAAACTTTCTGGACAACCCAATACATTATTAATCTGCACGTACAAATTAAAAGTGATTAATTTCCAGTACATGTACATATTGTAATGTACTTTTTAATAGAACTAATATTCTATTAGATTGTAAGCATAACTCATTTGATTTTGGCTATATATGAACACAGAGAAATACAAGCAATGTTAAGTCAAAACGAGTTAGACTACGGTTATAATCAATGCACATTCATACAAATTGGCGTTCTAATCACTAAAGTAGTTCAAGATTACAATACACGCACTCATAAAAGATGCATATTTAATTAGATGGATATATCAAGAGAATTCATCTAAATACGCACTGAACAGAGGTTGTAGACTAAGTTTGATTTAAGAATGACACAAATATAAATGGACAATCTATGAAAGCGATGATACAAGGATATACCAGTATAACCTTACCGGTGGTCGAAAAAGTTTAACGACTGAAATCTTGCCATATATTCCGACTTCTTTCAGTGGTCTTAAACCCTCCGGGGTAACGATATATATTTCTAGCCGAACATTCTTTGCTAATATCAGGTTCAAATCCGTAGGCGATGTAAAATTACCTTGGCACGTAACAGACAAAGGTATATATGAATTGTTTATCTACGGTTTTCATACAATCGTTTTGTGAAAATCGCTACGAAACTTACCGGTCACGCAAGCGGTGACAGCCGTGGGCTTGTGTGCCGTTACCACATAATGATGAGACATTGCTTTCATAATAATTTGTCCGGCAACGACTTCCTCTAAAGCCTCGTCAAACTTGGAGCGCCCAACGTATACGTACAGCGTGTACGTGCGACCGCTGCGACTATAAGCTAACTTTGCGTGCGTCCTGATTGTTTTCAATCTCACGCGCCACGAAGTTGGCAACAGTTGATTATTTTGTATAAATAAGTACGAGAAATATACCGAAGAATATTTCAAAATCGCAATTTGAATTAATCGTAATTAATCGTTATTATCGTATAAATTTAACTGGTCGGTACGTTAAATGAGAAGAACGATCGTTGTTTCAAATTTTTTTGTTATTTAAATTCATTAAAAAAAAAAGAAAACAGTTCTTGTATACATAGCATCTCATCTATCATATTTTTTTTAACAAATAAAAAATCAAACTGTTCATGTACAATGTACAAGTACATCTTACGGTATTAACAATATACATGTTTATTAGAGTTTTACGAGAGGGCTTAAATTCTATTGTAGTAAAGCTATTCCATATATACTTATACGTATTCACATTATCAATGAAGGTTGCTCCGAAATATTCCGAAAGGGATGATATATAATGAAGGAATAAAGGAAGTTCATAGTTTATTACAAATTTAAAGTGAGTTCGAAAACATATCGCATGTTCAGACCATAAACTAATTTCTAATCCGATACTTTAAATATGTACAATTCAATAATATCACATTATAGTCTTTAAACATTACTTCGTGTCTTTGATTATACTCTTTAGTATTACAACTTATTAGTTGATGGTCTGTGAACCTCGAGTTATTGATACAGTTTCTATCGTCGAATGGCAGTTCATAGAAGAACAGGCATTTAGATGAATGTTTCTAATGACTCCGTGATTAGTACCGAAATTAAGATCAAGAGTAACATTATATAAATACGTATCAACTGTTCTGCGAATTTGATCAAGCATGTAATAATACCTAGTTTTCGCACACGCACACATCGATTTTACTTCTCCATAAGATTAGGTGTGTATTTCCTACTTTGTTACATATATTCAGGTTTACACGAGACAGTCTTAAAAGAAATATGGAAAGTAAACTGTGAGAGCACATTTAAGAACGATCTAAAGTTACATATCCGATACCAGGAAGAGGAGAATTTCTTAGCCGCTTGATCGCAGCTGAATCGTATTTAAACCAGTCTTGCCTCCTAAGTCGGGAATAAAATTAAAGCGAATATACGCGGGACCAATGGTATATTCGGTACGACGTTAAAACGTTCAATCGATTTTCCTTATGTAAAAACGGTCGCTTGGGATTTATGTGGCGAGACCATCGATTTTTTGAATGGTTACATGCCCGTTCGAAAGATTCACAGGAGTCATGGATGTTTTAGAATTTTCGCTGGAACTACTATCACAAGTATCGCTTTTACTATCACTACTAGATTCAGAACTGTCTTTCCTCTGACTATTTTTACTCCTAGAAACGTATTCCATAAGCTCCGAGGAGGAACCGCAATTCGGTAGGAGGCTGTTACATCTGCTCCTATTCTCATTACTTGTACTATCGCTGTCGCTCTCGCTGTCGACGCTTGATACCGGACTGACGTGCCTTTTGGCCCTCAACGTCTCGTTCTCCTGCTTTAATTGCTCGTTCTGTTGCGTCAGATCCTCGATTCGTTGCTGGTAAATTTTCAACTTCTTCGCCGACTCCGAATCCGTGCTACTACTGTTGCTCTCCAACTCCCGCTGCTCGCTCTGATGAAAACTTTTACCCCGCAACCGTTTCGTCAGCAAATCCACCTTCGCCTCTAACTGTAGATACTCCTGTATCAATTCGGATTTACTTAACGTGTTTAATCTCTCGGCATGTACGTCTTCGTAAGCGCTCGAGAATTCCTTCGTCAAGAATTCTTCTTCGTCTTCGGGCGAGGAATAAAAGTAATCTTCATCGGAGTCAATGCTGAAACTCGAGTCTCTGGTACGAGGCGGGGCTATGGGTTTCTGAAATGTGGCAGGTACTTCGGACGACGCGGCTTCCGAAAGTTTTTGATCGAGATCCGGAAGATCGCTGTGATCTTCCATAAGAAATTGAGTGGTATTGTATGGCGCCGGTGGTTGTCTACCAGTCTTTGCTAATCGACCTCTAGATCTATATCGCAGCTGTTGTTGACATGATAACTGTTGCTTCGAATATGGTTTTAACTTTCTATTTTTAGGTTTACCTCTACGAGTCTTTCTCTTTTTCGCCGCGATATCAACCCCGTCCTCGTGCTGGCCACCCTCCTGATCTCCGCTCCCGCTACCGCTTTCAAATTTCCCGCAATTTTTGACCAACAATCTGGGACACTGGAAAATAAAAATAAGTAACTCAGCGTTTAACGAGAAATCATAATAAATCAATGTCGATTAAAATCTGGCAATGTCATCTGGAATTAACAATAGGAAATGCGAATGTCTTACAGTTTTCTTATTAACGTAGTCATTCTTGTTAATATTCTCGCCTATAGAGAGCGTCGGTTGTCCCGAAGCTGGTAGCGATGACGCCGCAGGCGTCGGCTCGGCCTCGGCCTGTACGCCCTTCACGTCATGTACTTGAACGTCGCCAGACACTTTCCCCGTGGCATCATGATTCTCCATATTTGTAATATTGACCAGAATTCGGTGATTCGCGGCGGTACAAGCACTCATTACCGTTAAGGACACTATCTCGGAGTCCACCGTTACTTTCCGTTTTCGCTCTACGAACCGTACGCCTTCACCGCAAACAGCGACTGAATCGCCATGTTTGATTTGCCCGTGCCCGTGATTCTGTGCCGTGCGATAGCGAAGCGCGACGCTAACGTTTCAGAGGTAGGCAGTGGTAGGAGTAGGGGTGGATTCTGTCGGCGAGCGGGGAGGGAGAATGCGCTTGCTTCCCCTCCACGGGACTCTTCCACTCCATTTTCGTTTATCCTTCAGGCACTGCGCTCCCCGAACTGAAAAACGCCATGGCGACTCTCCTCTTATTGCTGCACATTGCGCACCCTTAAGCTGTTAATTTAACGTCCGTTACGTATGTAGTACGAACGAAGAAAACGGCGAGCGCGCGGCAAGTACCACAATCCTATCGCTAATACTTTCTAAATAGCAGTTGCTCGGTTTGTTCCAATTTGACAGCTTTATGTGCTCACGAGATTTACACCGCGAATCGATTGTAAACGATTCGATTAACAATTCGAACTCTCATTCTCCTCTGATTGACGATCGTGTGATTTTCGGTGAGAAATAAATTAACGTCCGGTTACGTTGCCTCCCCTATTGCACTTTTGTGAATTCTGGATACGAAGGCCCAGTTGTTACGATCGTCCAACGGGTTTTGACAGCGTCCAATCCAGTCAGTTGCAGCCAACTTGTAAATAGAAAGTAGTCTTCTTTCAGAGCTACATACTGCCATTAGTGGTACTTTTTCTAATATTGTAAGAGTATCATTCATCTTTTCAAGCGAACGTATTCGCATGTATTCTTCTAATCCAACTCGCTGTCACCTTCGATGTTCGTTACTATCACACCGCCGCGAGTACTTTCTAGAATGCGAAGCTCTTTTTATCTGTCGATTCCTCGCCCGGTTTAATCGTCCTTACATTCGTTTCATTTAACAACTAGAGAATCGGGTATGCACGCATTTAGAAGTTCGTTGGAAGCTACACGAACTCGAGGAGATACGTTCTAAAATCGATCTCATTAAAAGTGGACGGCGCGGCAGTTGCCTTCTCGCATATACACGGTCGAAGTAGAAACTCAGTCAGGAGATTCGCGATGAAGAATGCACGGGTTCAAAGTAGCAGGAAGATACATAAAACGGTGCACCCTGCTAATTTGTTTGCTAAGAGTTACACCAAGTTTAAGACGATACGTATGTGTATACATACATACATACATACATACGCGTCGACCTACTTTACCCGTGGTAGTTATACATACATATATGTATGTACATATTACTACATATACATAATTGCATTATTATACGGACTCAATTTCACGCTGGCAATTGGATAGGTACTTTACACGCAGATTTTCTTTATGTACGCGTATATTTCATTCGGAATGTTCATAAGATTCAAATTAACAACTCTGCGACACGAATCGAACATGTGGCATTTAATGTTAATTTATGTAATAAGGTATACGTTCCATTCGAGCGACGGTACACTACCCAATTTCTCGCAGCGGACAAGCGTGAGCCTTGGAAATAACGAGGTGTGCTTTCCGTGCTTTCGGTGCAGAGAGACACATGCTTATGTTATGTACAAACGATTTTCCGTGCTCGTTCAATCCGCGTATCGATCATACCTGTATACGCGCATATTTGCTGTTATGCGATTCAGAATAATGAGCTTTCACGCTTTGACAACAGGAACGAGACAGAACGTGTTTAAATAAACGTTCCGTCCTCCCGTACTCAATAGAACCCGCTTAAGCATTTATTAATCGCAGCCGATCTATCCGCGTTACGTGCGGTCGAGGGTATTTTTTCGAATTAGAAAGATTTACGCGATTTATATTATTTGTACGAGCGGCGATAAGCATGCCAGAAATTAAACGTGATAGGAATGAAGATAATAAGGAGACTATGTAAAGTGTATAATCGGCAATTACGTGACACGCGATTTGCGTACGCAAAGTATTTAAAGTTACTTCGTGCGGCATAATTTCGTAAACTACTCAGCAATTAAACTTTAATCTTCACGTTCACAATGTAACATGTGCTCGGGTTTGTCGTACGCCTGTATATCTATCAGTTCTCAAGGTTCTACGTTTAATCGCTAAGCACATAATCCTTCGCACGCATTACATTTTCATAATTGTGTAATCAAAATTTCTGTAAATAGTTGGAATTGATTTTATAGCTACCAAATGATTAAATTGATTGATAAACGGAGCCAATCCGACAGGGGAATAACAGTTCGTAGCGCAACTATAAATACGTCTTCTATGTAGGAGACTCGATTCTTTTCTTAAAATTCAATTTCTTTCCACCGACCACACGCGTAACTTTCTTTAAAGAATGCATCGCCCGATAGGAGAAGCTCCCATTTTTCCTTTTTGCGGAAAGCAACAACCGACGAGATCGCTTCAACGATCATCAAGTATTCCGTTTAGCTCGTGTCTTATCTATTTAATCAGTAGGATTCGATGTATTTATAGGAAAATGAAAATCCGTACGACTACTTTTTGTGGCCACTGTACGTAAAATGTGGCTCTTCCATGCGCTATCTCCGTTCCAAACCTACTTTCCGTCTAGGCTCTCTCTCGATGCGAGTGCATTCTAAAATCTAATATAGGAAACGCGGAGTATTTTATAGCCGATCATCGTGAATCGCGTGCCACGATATTGGAACGGGCACCGCGCGCTCGCTCACGATTTCTTTCTTTTCCAATTAGCACATTTGAACTCTTCCCGTAGTTTTATGCAGTATTGTGCATTTCGCAACTTTAATTTCAAGTTACGTAATTGTAAACCGCGAGGAGACACCGAGCATGATACCAATTTTATGTGTATAATTGGACGCATCACAATGCTCGAATACCCTTTATTAACTCTATTATAAAAATTATACGCCAGGAACAATGAGAGAATTAATAATAATCCAAGAGCTGTTATTGCTTTATGTCTATTATAAAAGTTACTTAAATCGCTGGTTTAGCCGATAACTGTTACTATTCTCGAAAGTTGCATTTCGTGTAGTATAAAGAATCGGGAGCATTATCAACGTTATCGTACTAGGTTCGTAAAGCTTTATCACATGGTAGACTGTAAGAAAAGACCGAAGAAACGAACAAGAAAAAAAGAGAGCATATGTTACGTAAAATAGATTTTAAACAACGTTCACGTATCAGCAATGTTCGATGTAGTTTCTCTCAGAGGATTTACTTTAAAAGCTGTATCAAGGTAACAGCGAATGATAGAAATCAGTGGTCCAACAGACCAATACTTGTCCGTTCGCGTGTGTGCGTGCGTGTACTTTATTCGTAGACGCTCGGACGCCCTGTATTCCATCCATTCGCTACTAATCGCTACGTATATCTTCGTATGTATCATCCACGGATGATACGATACAATTATAAGTATGATACTACACGATGCACCGCTCGCTCCTTTCCTTTGATCAAATGATACGCGGGTGTAAACAAATGGATACGATGCTTTATTTGTACGCATACATATTCATATAGCTGGTGGTGATGAAACACTGAAACGTGGCTTGTGTACGTGCGCTCGTGCGCATATACAACTGCAGTGGGTATATTCAGAAGCAAACATCATATACATATACAAACGCGTCGGTTTATATGTAGATGCTTGTAGTACTCGTGTTTGATAGAAAAGAGTTACGAACTCTTTGGTTCGTTTTTTGTAATTTTACTATTTGTGAAAGAAACCTCGAGGCGGATCTGTAGTATATTTGAATAACGCAAGCGAGATGATTGCACGTATGTAATTTTATAAATCAGAACACAGTCGTATGTTAAGAATATCTATTTTCTATCAATACATGCTTACTGATTATACTTATAGTACAGTTTAGCTTATATTAAAAATATACAAGATACACTTATAAAACGAATGATAAGGCTATAATAAATTACGTACAGATAGTTGTAAAATCCTAGCAAATATCTTAAAATTTACTTAGTTCCGCATGAAGTTACTACATTCTGTCTATTGCCATTTTAAAAACTTATATATTATTAGAAACGAGAAGGTAAAAAAAATGCGTAATATATAAAAAAAAAAAGAGAGAGCTAAGACGGCAGGTATAAAATTGTAAGAGTTAACGATAATTTACTCGACCACAAGTTCATGCTCGTCTATCTCGTGAAACGTTCTATTAATGTCCTTAATCCATTCTATCAATCTCTTATCCTGTTGGTTCTTCAGTTTATTGGTTTTCTTTCGCTTTCTTGGATGTACGATCTCCTCTTCTCCTTCGTTTTCACTTTCGTTATCCGAAAAATCAAATCGCCTTATCTGCTTCCGCTTGTACGAATATCGCGGCGGCTGAAATACATAATCATTAGTACAAGAATATTTATATATAATTTTATAGTGAATAGAAATATGTACCTCTTTGAAATGAACTGGCTCGCAATCGGTAAATAGCGGTACCTCGGTCGCCGAAGGTGCTGTTGTATCGCCCGCTTCAGATAATACGTCAAACGTGTCAGAAAAATTGATGGCCTCGACTTTTCGTTGGACAGGTGACTTCATTACTTTTTTCTTGACTACTACGTTCTCCACGTTATGTTCATTTCTAATTTCATCTATCTTCAGTAATACATTTTTTATCTCGTTAACTGATAACCTTGCAACAGATTTTTCGTTCAACGATTTCAGATTCGACGATACAGGCGTGTTATTTATAGTTATGCATTCGGGATTGGAATTCTCATCAAAACCGAACGCGGTTTTCAATTCTATATTAGATGTATCGGGCTTATTTAAAGATTTGCCAGGGATGGATATCGATTCCGGGTCGTCGAATATTCCATGAGGAGTTCTGATCGTTGCACTCTGCGGTGTTTCTGTTAAATTCAAGAAATTGTTTAAGTTCGATTGCCGCAATACATGTTGCTCGTTAGAAATTCGAGTACTTTTCAAGCCCGAGGGTCCAGGCAGAGGATCAAGATTTTCCTTCTGCTCATCCGCTACATAAACGTTGGCTTTAACTACCATTGCGTTACTTTTTTTAAGAGGACTTTCCTTTTTCGGACTCAAAATATTACTCTTTTTGTCGACGGGTTTTAATATATTCACATTCGAGGTGATTAAGTTTTCAACGTCTTCGTTAGATTTAGCTGACGTTCGTTCACTTATTTCTATCGAGGACTTGGATTTCAAAGAATGATCGATATTCGTAATTTCTGTACCAAATTTTCTCGAAATCAAGGAGCTCTTCTTTTTTGGAGTATTGCAGATTACAGAGTCGTTACTTTTCTGCAAATTGTTTCTAGCCTTCAACACATTTCCAAACTGTCTTGGATCGTTCTTTAATATCCGCGGAAATGCCTTGGGAACGTCGTTAATATTATTTTGAGGCGTACTTTGATACACATTCATCACCTGAGAAAGTGTAGACACCGGTGATACTCTCCAGGGGCTATTATTATTAATTTGCAGATTGTCTGTCGGTCTCTTAATTGGCGATAAGGACTTTTCAAATAGAGAACAATTAAATGTATTTCTTTGCGGAACCGTTAATCTATTACTAAAAATGTTTGTTGGCCTGAACGGTTTAAAATCATCTGGATTCGATGGTTCTGAGTTATCTAGAGTTGCAACGCTTTCATTGCTTAAAATCTCTACTGAGAGAACTGTAGGTTTCCCAACACCCACAATTTTTCTCGGTACAGCATCATCTGACTTTTCTGATCCCTTATTTAACTCAAGATCTGCTGCAGATTTTATATCATTTAAATCTTTCTTTAACTCAGTTTCTTTATGTTCTTCCTTTGCAGAATCCACAGGATCTGGTTTTTCTACACTTTCACATTCATCTCTAATCACTGGTTTCTTTGTATCAGCTTTCGGTGCTTCCAAATCACGTTTTACAGAAATATTTTTCTTCCTTCTATTCGCTGCTTTCCTTTTAACAATAGTCTTCTTCTTCGCAACTTTCTTCCGTACTCTTTCTTTGGAATCATTCTTATCAAACTTAAACTCATAAATCTCACTGTTCCTCTCAATCTGACTTTTTTCTGGTGAAACACGACCATAAATAGGCACTTTTCTTTTATTATCACTCACTTTTTTTGTCGGTGTATCAGTACCAGATTTTGTACGAGGCCTTAACACTATTTTAGATTGATTCAGAAATGACTCCTTTAAGGAAATTTGTCTTGACGTAGCACCTGCACGCGTTCCTTTAATAACTTTTCTTTTCTTGACTGATTCCTTTTTCGGTACCTTAGTATTATTATGTGTTACACACTTCTTTTGATCTACTTGAATGCTGACGTCTGCCTGTTCAACTGACTTCTTTCTGCTCGTTCTCTTCTTTCTCTGTGTGACATTTTTCAAAGATGATGGATCACTTTTATTAGTTATTGCCCTTCTGGCTCTTGTTAGGGTTCTTGTGTTTGTTTTGACACGATCCTTAGTATTTGAAGTTTGATTCGCAGCCCTCTTTACTTTAGAAACTGTAGTCACTTCGGTTGATTGTACTTCTCCTTGGAAGTCTGTTTTTGAAGAACCCCTTTTTCTTAAGTTTGAAGACATTCTTCCATGAATCTATAAAAAGCACATGCAAACGTATGTACGTTAAAAATCTGCAAGGTTAGAGGTGTTAATTGTAAAAGATTGATCAAATTTACCGTGAATATTAAACAAGAAGACGAGGCAGCTTATTGAAATTAAAATCAATACTGTTCGCTCTGAGTAAAATTAATCGAAATGAGTTTAAAACAAGGATCTAGGAAATGTCATCACAAGCGAACGTGACAAGTTCCTATCACTTCTCGAGCGTGGAGTAAACACTCCTACACTTTCTCGAACACACGTTTGTGATGCGCATTTCTTATACTGTGACGTATTTATTCATTTATTCGACTGTTTTTTTCATGGTTTTTCTTTAAGAAGGCTCTTAGATATTGTGACGGTGACGTAACTGATTGCAACCAGTTATAAGTGACGTTCTCACTCACTTTTACTGAAACTTACTCTTAAAATACTGTTCCCGCGTTTTTATGTTAACTACACCTTCATGAATAGATGATAGTATTTAATAATCGGAAACGATGTCAAAACGGAAAGTAAGAAATTTCTCGAAAGGATAATGTAAAAATGCAATATCGAAAGCTTGTGCAGTCGTGCTTTGTTTATATAACTGTTATCGATCGCGATTATATTTTGAAAATGCATAGATCCTTCACTAACTCATTTCTCACAATCGAACAACTTTCGATCGATCACGAAGGCGACAATGTTACACACAGTGCAAAAATATATTTTAATTCACTTCAATTAAACGGAGAATTGTAAAAATAATAAATGCACAGCAGCTTGGAATGTAAACTGAAGTCGCCCAAGTTGGCCCAACTGGCCCAAGTCGCCCATGTTTAATTATGATATACTGCATAGATTGGAAAGTCGTTGATCCAGGCTTGAGGTTATTTTTAACATTTGTACGCCAGGGAGCAGCACGGTTCGGAGAAATAGAAAAAGCCGTGTCGTGTCTTGATACTGTCTCTTAGTTCCATGACACGTTCTGAAAATCGTTTCCCGCCAAACTTTCAGCATCAGACCGTTTTCATTTCAACCAATTTTAATAAAGAAACTGTAGAGAAATGGAAGGATTCGATGATCCAGGTATATTCTTCTCTGACAACTTCTCCACGCCCGATACCAATGAAACGCAAACTAATCTTCAATATGCGAAGAAGAAGTTTATGGAGTTCATCAGACAATTCCATGAAGGAAATTTCAATTACAAATACAGGTGCTCGATTAATTTATTAAGAATCATTTATAAATTTAGCAGCGAAACGTTGAGACTTTTCATTAAATGCTTAGAGACACGCTGAAGCGGAATTATAATCTGGGCCAGTATTGGCTAGAAATCAATCTGGAAGATTTAGGAGCTTTCGATGAGTCTCTCGCAGAAAAAGTGTACAAACATCCGACGGAATACTTGCCTATTTTGGAAGAGGCTGCGAAAGATGTGGCAGACGAGATCACAGCACCGAGACTGGAAGGTGAAGAAAAAGTCGAGGACATACAAGTATTACTAACTTCAGATGCGCATCCCAGTTCCTTAAGAGGAATGAAAGTAAGATTTAGTTCTGAAACTCTTACAGTTCCTATTTTTATAGATTAGATTTATTATAATTTTTGCCTGTCATCTCCAAACTTAAGATTGATATGAAACTTAATGTCTACCATCATACCTATTTGCAATCATCCACAATATTCATATATCTTATATTATAAATTATTTAGTTAACAATACACTTAATATCTTATTTTTTATCTTACTCTATTTCTTATCTTTGACTTCACATTATTTTACTCTTTTTATTGATACTCTTCCTTCTTTTTAACCATACTCTTCTTTCTTTTTAACCATACTCTTCTTTCTTTTTAACCAATCAATTATCTTTTCATTATCTTTTTTCTCTAAAATGTCTTCTAACTTTATACGCTATCCTCTGTTTCTTTTCATTCATCTACACTGTTTTAAAGTTCCCAAGACCTCTTTACATATCATGTATTCTGTTTGTTCCTCATCCATCCATTACGCATTCTCATCTTCTGTGCTTTCACATCAAACTCTTGCAATCAATCTTTGACTCCTCTATTTCCCATTTCTGTCCAAATATTGATGCAATCTAATTAAACTATAGAATTCATATTTTGCGTTCTACCTTGAACCTTGTATTTTTTTAAATTGTACTCGTAATTGCACCTCCCGATCTCTTTTACTTAATATTTCTTCCACATCCTGTCCTTGAATAATACTCCACTCCAAACTTATTTAACTCATTCCCACATTCACCCATTCCTCCGCAAATATTCTTCTCTCTCCTCTCGAGATCTTGTTCCTACACCTCTTCCTTCTTTCCCTATACATTGTTTTAACAATTCCTTTCTTATGCCATTCTTTACTTCGTTTTCGTACCTAAATGCTCTATGGCTCATTCTGATTAGTGCATAATCAGGTGTAGTTCCTATTTTTATGTGAAACTAATACAATATGTTGCCTCAGCCTGATGCAGTCTCCCAGCTTATTAAACTCTCCGGGATCATCGTTTCTGCATCTGGAATCAGAGCGAAGGCAACGAAGATTTCCATACAATGCCGATCCTGCAGGAGCATGCAAACTAATATTTCCATCAAGCCTGGTTTGGAGGGTTACGTTCTACCTAGGAAATGCGCTACGGAACAAGCAGGACGTCCGAAGTGCCCGTTGGATCCGTTTTTCATAATGCCGGATAAATGTCAGTGCGTAGATTTCCAAGTCCTGAAACTGCAGGAGCTGCCGGATCAAATCCCGCAGGGTGAAATGCCAAGGCATTTGCAATTATATTGCGATCGTTATTTGTGCGATAAAGTCGTGCCGGGGAACAGAGTACTTATCTTGGGCATATATTCGATTAAGAAAGTAGCTAAAACTGGTAGAGGAGGCAGAGGCGACAAAGGACTGGTCGGCGTCCGAGCACCGTACATAAGAGTGATTGGTATCTCCACGGACGAAGAAAATACAGGCAGCGGTAAGAATTGCGGAAAATGATGCTTCGAAAAATAAATGTTTTATTTCGTTACATATAATTCTTTCATGATCTGCAGGGTATTCTGTAATAACGAACGAGGAGGAAGACATGTTCAGGCGTTTAGCAGCGGATCCTAATCTATACGAAAGAATCGCAAAGAGTATAGCTCCTAGTATTTTCGGGGCGATAGACATTAAAAAAGCTATAGCTTGTTTGTTGTTCGCTGGATCAAGGAAAAGGATGCCCGACGGTCTTTGCAGGAGGGGCGACATCAACGTTTTATTACTAGGCGATCCAGGCACGGCTAAATCGCAGTTATTAAAATTTGTAGAAAGAGTCGCGCCAATTGCAGTTTACACGTCCGGTAAAGGAAGTTCGGCCGCTGGTTTAACTGCGTCAGTTTTGCGAGATCCTTCAACGGTAAATAGTTGATTCCTTCGGTTTTGTCTAATTTATTAAACAATTTCGTTCAACTTCATTACTTCCTTCCACTTTTCGCTTTCCTCTTTGATTCAAATTTTGTCATTCCTTTCTTCTTTACCCATTCCTTACGTTTAAATTTATCTTTAAGTTTACTTTTAGTTCAAGTTCAATCAGTTAATTTTATTATCTTAGTACAGTATTATTTATTTTCTTTTTTGTTTTCTAGTTCCTTTTTATTATTTCTTTTATTTTTAAGTTTATATTTCTTACATCTATTGTCAGTATCTTAAGTTTATCACATTTATTTTGTTTTCTTTTCCTATATTCTAAAGTAATAATAATAATAAAACATGTAGAGGAATTTCGTGATGGAAGGAGGCGCTATGGTTCTCGCGGATGGTGGTGTCGTTTGCATAGACGAGTTCGATAAAATGAGAGAGGACGACAGAGTCGCGATACATGAGGCTATGGAGCAACAAACGATATCCATCGCCAAAGCTGGAATAACTACAACTTTGAACACTAGATGTGCTGTCCTGGCAGCGGCAAATTCGATATTCGGTCGTTGGGACGAGATAAAAGGAGAAGAGAATATCGACTTCATGCCGACGATCTTGTCGCGCTTCGACATGATCTTCATCGTGAAAGACGAACACGAGCATAACAAAGATATAACATTGGCAAAGCACGTATTGAGGATTCATACCAACGCCGGTGAACTTACGGAACAATTCCAGGAAGGAGAATTGCCGTTGAACGTTTTGAAGAGATATATAAGCTACTGCAGAACGTAAGGCCAAGCATTGTTTATATTAAATTCGAGATTTCGTTCCATTTTGATTAATATTTTTCTCCCCAGGCGTTGTGGGCCAAGACTGAATAAAGAGGCAGCAGAGAAACTGAAGAACCGTTACGTCGTGATGCGAGCGAGCACCAAAGAACACGAGAGGGATACGGAGAAGAGAATCTCTATTCCTATAACAGTTCGCCAGTTAGAAGCCGTTATAAGAATTTCGGAGTCGTTAGCTAAAATGCAATTGCAACCGTTCGCTACGGAGATCCACGTCAACGAAGCGCTCAGGCTTTTCCAAGCATCTACCATGGATGCCGCGCTGTCTGGATCTTTATCTGGTAATCTACGATCAATCTCTTATCTTGTATACGTATCTCTGTTCGTTTCTTAATCGATTGTAATGTTTGCGAAATTAGGGGCGGAGGGATTTACATCGGAAGAAGACCACGAGATGTTATCTCGTATCGAGAAACAATTGAAACGCAGATTTCCAATCGGTAATCAAGTGTCCGAACAAAATATCGTTAAAGATTTCGTGAAACAGGGATTTGTAGAACGTGCTATTTACAAAGTTATACACACGATGATACGCCGTGGGGAACTTCAGCATCGCATGCAACGTAAAATGCTCTATAGGCTGCACTGAAACATAAATCACATTCGTTTTTAAACACTTAGTTTCTTTCGTTTTATTTTGAACCATGTTTCAACCGAATTTTAATAATGGTATAAATATACACGAACTACACGTAAACAATTTCAACGGTCGTTTCAATTAGGATTGCAGATCATCTTTGAATGGATAGTGTGGGTGGCTCTCGACCCTGGAAGTTAGAGAAATGATTTTATATTTTTACACTTAAGTAGGTTTAATAAACTTTCTTACCCTTTGAAAAAAAGAAAATTGAATATTCTGCCGCGCATTCCTTTGTCTAAAGTGCTCAATAACTTCATCTCCTCTTCCTTCAGTTCGAAATCGAATAAATCGATGTTCGCCTTGATTCTTTCGGGAGACGAACTTTTTGGAATTATTACGACTCCCAATTGCAATAGGTAACGTAACAAAATTTGTGCCGTCGACCGATTGTATTCTGTGCTCAGATTTTGTACTATCGGAAGTCCCAGGAGATCTGGAAAGTCTTCCACAGTGTGATTATACTTGTTTTTAAAATGCGTTTTAGCTCCTGGCGATCCCAGGGGGCTGTACGCTGTTACCACGATATTATGTGCTTTACAGAATTCCCGAAGCGAATTCTGCTGTAGATAAGCATGTAACTCTACCTAATGAGGATGCAAGTATTCGTTATTCTAGTCAGAAAATAATGTATTAACAAAATTCTACTTGGAACACACCTGCAAGTTGCTTGGCTTAATTTGTGCATTCTCCCATACCTCTAGAATTTGTTTTTCGTTAAAATTACTTAAGCCTATAGACCGTGTACGACCTTTCTTTACTTGTTCTTCCATTTCCTACAAAACATTCATAGAAATCACGATCTTTTAATAATATTACTGAAGTTAACAGTGTTACAGTTTTCAACCTTCCACACTAAAACAGGATTTGTATCAAAATCCAACAGGAAACTTCCATCTTCATTAGTTGCTGGTGTTAAAGTACTTTCACTTAGTTTAAAAGCAAACGGCATATGAATTAAGTACATGTCCAAATAATCCAGACCCAGCTTTTTCAATGATAAATTAATAAACTTCTCTACATCCGATGGCCTGTTGCCAAAGTTTGGTAACTGGAAATGATAATCACGAATGTATAATTGTTTCTCTAGTTTACACAAAGTATTACCTTTGTGGTAATGAATAATTCTTCACGCTTCCCACCCTTTTCAAACCATTCTTTTAATACTGCTCCAATAGCCTCCTCATTATTATAGTTAAATGCAGTGTCAATGTGTCTGTAGCCAACTTTTAAAGCAGTTGTCACAGCTTTCTCAATTTCTTCTGGTTTCGCCTGTAAACGAATGGTTTAGCATCCGAAATCGTGGTCCTGCATTTATGTAGTATCATGATCAAATCACCTGCCATGTGCCTAAACCCACAGTGGGCATGTCATATCCTGACGATAGTTGTATTCTTTTCATAGTCCCTCTGTCCGCTCTGTCCGTTCGGCCCAATACTGCAAAGAACGTTCGTAAAAAATCATTTAAAAGATTTTCAACGACGATTACCATTACCATTACTATCGAGAGATTATCCCAACAATTTGGATTACCATAAAGCGCGTTACTTTCAAGGGTAAACTAGTTCGCGGTAAGGCTAATCGGATAGAAAATTCTCAATTTCTAAAGTTAGATCAGCTAGAGCTAGACCTGTACCGTTCTGAATATGGGTTCACAGACGAGTTACACAAGTGTACGTTCACGGATGCATTTATTGATCTGCAGCAAATTTTATGTCCAGCTACGATTGAAATATATTCTAGAAGATCGATGATCGGATCCCGTTACACGGAGATGCAGACAGATGGAAATCTCGATGTTCAGAGGATTAAAATAAAAGAAGTTTGATACATATACACCTATCCTAATTATACTCATCCTTTATTTTGGGATTGTCTAATCATATTTTAACGAGGGTGAACTAAACAATGTTGTCGCCATCGTTCTGAAAGATTCATCGTGTCGAAGAACAAGCATGATTGTTGTTATATTAAAGAGGACATCAAAATTCCTTTTAAATTGCGTTCTCGCCGACAGATAAGCGTGTGAAATGGTTTAAACTTTCAGAGGTTTGAAATGGTTTGAAATGTGTTACATAAATTCGATTCCCGCGTTACGTTGCGTTCCAAAATGGTGGCGAAGTTCGTAGCTTCTTATTTATATACCTCGGAAAGTGTTTATAGCACTCCGTAAGCGGTAATTCATGAATTTTAGAGCCTCTTTGTACATGTTCGATTCTGTGGACTTATCAATTACACACAATGTGTGTATATGATAAACAATGATAATAATTCAGAACGGGGACTGTTGGTAGCAGTGTATGTCAGTTACAAGATTTTCAATGGGATCGAAGACATTCATTGAGTTGCGTGTTTTGATTACGATTAAACAAGTAACATGAAAACTTTGCATTTCGCGCGGAGGGAGTTTTTAATTGCAATTTATGACTGAAACGTTTCTCATATACAAAGTAGAAACATGTTGATTTATGATGTGTTGCACAAGGAATCGGTGTACCACTCGGTTATCGGCGATCTTCGTAATTACGGAGTTAAATATCGTTTCAAGAAGAACATGTTCAAGACCGAAAGACTGGAGGGAAATAAACAGATTTCGAAGAAAGTCTTCAAAACCCCTTTGTCATATCAACCGTTGGACGTGGTGAATTTGTCCTCGGGTGGCATCGTGCACGTACCAGTTTTCGTTAGCCAAGCAGCTGCCTTTTTAGAGAAACATATTAACCAAGAGGGACTGTTTAGAAAAGCAGGCTCGCAACTCAGACAAAAGGAATTGACAGCTTATTTAGACAGTGGTGGGACCTTCAGTGAAAAGCATCATGTCATTGACGTAGCAACTATTTTAAAAATGTTCTTTAGAAATTTACCAGAACCGTTGATTCCATATACTTACCACGATCTGTTTGTTCACTGTGTCATGTTGAAAGCTAATCGAGTAGAAGCATTGCTGTTAGCTTGTATCCTTTTACCTCCTCATCATTTGAATACATTGGCATTTTTTATGGAATTTCTAAAGAGGGTATCGTTGTGTGAGAAACAGAATAAAATGAGCATTGATAACTTAGCCAAAGTAATCGGTCCGAATATCATGCCTCTACAAGAAACTACTATGTCCGCTGTACAGATGAGACTGGATTTACATTTGCTTGTTGTTAAGGTAAGGAAAGTAATTTGAAACGTAATTATCATTTATTGAATCCTGGACATATATACTGTTGTAGACTTTAATAGAGAATGCAGAGTGCATTGGAATTTTACCAGATCATATAACGCAAGCCATTTCTATGGAAACAATTGGTAGCACAGATAATGAATTAGATGTATCTGATCATTCTCATTCGAAATTTCGAAAAAAGAAACATCGCAGTGGAAGTCTTACACGTAAGCCACATCTAAGTGCCTCCAACCTCAATCTAAGTATGTCTGTCCATCTGTTCGCAGTAATTTATTTCTGAACAGATACATTTACTAACCAATTTATCAGCTTAATTATTTAACAAATCAAAATTGTTTTGTGTATGGAGTAATTTCAAATTCTAATTCTGCTCTGTAGGAATGTTTAATGGATTAAAAAAGATCGTGGGTAAAAATGCTGTACCTGAAGATGGTAGCGAGTACAGTGGTCAAAGAATTCCTGAAAATTATGATTCGAATGTTAAATCAACGAAAAAGAGAAAAGTTGATAACGTAGATCCTTCGAGTATAAAAAAGAAGTATGCTTTCTTTTAATCGTCGATAATAGAGGGCAACAAGAAAATATTTTCGCGAAGTATTTTTGTACATACTTGATGTTCCGATTCCAAAAATGTCTTTAGATTCGCTTTACAAATACATTTTGTTTTCGGAATTTTCGGTTGCGGAAGACAAGGGAGGCGAACTGTCCATTATCTTATTTCCTAAATTCATAAAATCTAAGTCCACGTATTTGTTTATATTTATTTACTACTTAGCTTTGGCAACCAAAAATTCCAAAAATGAAGCGTACCTCTAAAACTAGATCTGATGGAACAATTCTGAAGGATTCAGAACATAAAAATATACAAACATACTCCGTATTGTTCCGGTACCATGATGAAAATGTTTGTTTGTTGACCTGTGTAATTAATTTACCGTTCCCAAATGCTAATTGTTTCAATGTTTCAGACGAGTGGTTGATAAGGATAAATCGAAAAAGATCAGACTTAGTCTTGATCGTTTTGTACCAAAGAAAACAGTAAGAATATTCAGATGAGCTTGCTCCCTGATATTATATTTCCATTTTATATACACAATCGTCTTTGCGTTTTCAGAAGGCAGTCGATGAGAGTCTGGAATCTTATCCGAACACCGCCGAGATACCCGTGGAACGACGTTGGAGTTCAGTTTCGAACACGTGCGACTCGCGCAGAAGCTACAGAACATACAGCGATGATTCGCCAAACTTGAGAGAAAACAGGATGTCGAACGAGCTTCACAGAGAATACGACGATATGTTCATCGACGCGGATATCAATTTATCTAACGATAGTGACGAGCCGATCTTGTTAACAAAAACAAATGATATGGATTTGTTTAAAGGACAATCGAATTCGAGCTCGGAGGAGCTGAAACCTGTAGGCGATTTCGATCCGAGACGCGCGTGCCCGTCGAAGAGGAGGCTAACTGTAAATAATTTCGAGACGTATTCACGCGTTCAAGTCACGTCCGTGGCTGACCAGTCAGAGGAATACGTCACAATACCTAAAAGTGAATACGAGGATATCAAGAACCGAGTTTCTGCTATTGAATCTCGCTTGTCTCAGGAATTCGCTTGTGTAGATAAAGACGATGATGATTTACTGCCGCATTCTGTAAAAAAAGTACAAACCGCGTACGAGAAGACTTTGGAGGAAACTAGTTTAGAAAGTAACGCGTCGACAGACTATTTAGCTACGAAACTTGGTAAAGAACTGAAAATTCGGAGATCGGGCGATCATAAAATTATCAGATCTCCGAGTGCTCGGAAAATAGGAAGTTTAAGAAGGAGATCGCAGGAAAGGGTGATGAAGTAAGTGGTCTATTTATAGACAGTGGATTTTATGCCATCAGACAGAAGTATAATGAATGTACAGAATGTTAAAAGATCAATGCCACAATGTTTACATGATAAAAGGGATGTCTATTTAGAATTCATTTTTTCAACTGATTAACTGTTCTATTTTGCATAAAAATCTGCATCTTATCTATGAAACTACTAATATTATATGTTATATACAATACTCAAAAAAATTATGGCATCACGAAATTTGTGTCGAGAATTGCCCTCGTTTGAAACATAATTTCACAACAAATTATCGTACTACGATGGTTTTTTTTTTAAATAGAGTTTGAAACCTTTACTTTGAAATGTTATTCGGAAATTTTGAATTTGATACATATGATAGCTTAAATCTAAGGTTATGCCTAAAGTTTAGAAATCAGCAAAGTGCAAGGACTTGAATAATCTTTTTTTCACTGATGTCGTTTATGGCAAATGAAAGCTTGATTCTTCACCTTTAAAAGAAAAATTGTATTTCTATGATTGTATTTTCTGTACTTGTTACAACGGTTAGAAAAATTCGTACATAAATTCCGACCTAACACAAGTACCTGTTAGGGAACTCGAATCCCAAACATTATTTTATCCACTATACAACCTCAGTTTAACACACGAACATGCCGTGTTTGACCAACTCTTTTGCAATGGCACGAAAAATAGCCAATATCAGCTAAAGAACAACGAAAATTAAAAGTTTTTTGAACCACTATAATATCTAGAGAAGAAATGTTCCCACAATGTTTAAATGATAAGATAGAATTCATTTTTTTAACTGATTTTGCATAAAAGCCCGAAATCTATGAAAGTACTAGTGATCGATCTGAGATAATAATCGTTATTTTGTTTTGTTTTCCAGTAAACGCGTCAGGCGAACTACTTCGTGGCACATCTCTCACAAATCAGATTTCAATTTTCACTCCACTCAAGAGATGAACAACGCTTATCCTCACAATGAGAATAGCTCTACGACAAACTGTACAAAGGACGATTTTTACGTGCAACCGCGGTCCACATCGCAATGGGAAGAAAAAAGACATAACATGATTCTAGATAACATACACAATGAATTTAGTACTCCGAATGCGCACACGAAAAAGTACAATCAAAATTCTTTGCAATCGGGGAAGAATCGAATACGATCCTCGGTACGTCGAGTGTCGTCGTTCCATGGTAATGAACAAACCAATTCAGCGCATTCAGATGACAAAAATGAAAACTTGAAGAAGTCAAGCAGCCAGCAAAATGTGGTATTAAATAATACGCCCGTGACCAAATCGAAGACACCGACTTCTTGGAAAGACGCGAAAGGATATTTCCAGACGAACCAAACGAACACCCCGATCAATCAAACTGGCCGTGCGTCGATCGCGAAATTGAGAACTCAGAACGCCGGGATGGTGCTGGCTAAGGCTAAGCTGTTCGACGAATGTACCGCGAAAGTGTACAGTACCCAGAACTTCGTAGCGAGTAAAAAAAACGGTCAATGTCCGGATAACGTGAAGCAAAGCTGCGAACGGAAATCGAGTAAGAATGCAAAAAGCAGATATCCGAAAGCAGCGAAACATACTCCTCCTCCAAGTATAGAGACTGAGAAAGATCAGATCGAAACGTGTTATTACATTCCCAATGACTCCGCGAATCACAAAGAGAACGTGGTTAAAACATCACCTTTGGTGAGGAAAATACCTATAAATACAATAATGCATGAGCCAAGACTGAACGTGTACAAAACGGACAGTGTATTAACTTGTAAAACGCCGAATATAAAGAAGCCGTTAACAGTAAAGACGCCTAAAAGTGGAAAGGCGTTAGTTAGGAAATCTACTGTAGAAACTCGCAGGACACCTTTGAAAGCTGTTAGTCAATTAAGCACCCCGAAATATCAGAGTCCTAAAAGCATTTTAAAGATGTCAAGGAACATCAGTAGATACACTTAACGAACTCGTCGAAGATGTGTTCGATTGATTAATTAAATTAGCAAGCTATAAAATGGTGAAACCATCGAAAGATTGTTAGAAACAATTTATACAGGGTAAGTCGCCTGAGGCAAGCCACCTAAATAACTTCTACATTTTTTGAGATAGAAAGGTGTGTTTCAGACAAGATTTGTTTGGTTTCGAGAGATATGTTACGTGGTATACATAACTTTTCTGCAGATGGAGATGCTTAAGGGATTTAAAGGTCAACTTTGTTTTTTCGAATGAAATAGGATATTTTTTTATACATGAAACGATGCCACTATATAGACATATAAAAAAAAATATTTCAAAACAATTTAAAAATTTGGACGGACATTAACGTTTATTTACAGGGATGGTTTAACGTAACAACCATTTGGATCACAACATCTATGAAATAAGGACTGAACTACGTTGTTTAATGTATTGTCTGATATTTTGCAACATACAGCGATAATACGCTGCTTCATATCTAATATTAGGATGAACTTCAGAATTACCTAAATTGAAGTACCTCCTAAACTACTAGCTTTTCGACATACATAGATCAGCACTTTCTTTATAAAAAGTGTCTATATAGTGGCATCGTTTGATGTATACAAAAACTCAATTGTATTTAAAAAAAGTTTACCTTCAAATCTCTTAAGCAGCTGCACCTGCAGTAAAATTCTGTACGTTATGCAATGTGTCCTTTGAAACCAATCAACTTTTGTTTGAAACATTTCTTCCAATCTAAAAAGACTATGGAAGGTATTCAGGTGGCTTGCCTCAGGTGACTTACCCTGTATATAGAAATGAACTTCAGATTAATTTTTTATAATATATGCTAAATGATAATATACTGAAGCATATTGCAAGTATGTTAAATGGAAACATAGGCCTGTGTCGCACATGCAGAGCTGGAATGGTTTTAAAAGCAAGACATTTTTAACAAATTTTCTTTAAGGAAGTTTATGTATTTATATATATACCTTTTTGTATGTTTTATAATGTTACTATTTTCTGTAATATATATTGGTGTATCTAAAGTACAAACTATACTATTTTAATTGCAATACTATTTCCAAATTTGTGCCATATATATGTAATAAAAATATTTTCTGTTTTCACCCATCTAACAGTGTTTAGAATATTACAACTTGATTGTCGTTAATTCTGTAGTGTCTGGACATCTCGAAACTCTCGAATTTAAATCAAAGTGATGTACTTGTATTTTTCAATTCAAACGTACCATTCGATCTTGAGTGTGAAGACAGGCTTGGAATTTAAGAAATTTTTTTAAGATTAATTTTGAAAATAGAATATTACATTATCTGGCTGCATGTTATTT